TTTTTCTCTCCGGTTCTGTTTCTGTCTCTGTCTCCCCTTTTTTTTCCTTTTCGCAGGTGGGGTGGTGGCTTTTATAGCCACCACCGGTGTTCGTCTCGGACCGGTCCGAAGAGGGGCTTCGGTGAGTCACCGGACTACCAGTGGTGACTCACCGAGTAGCCATGGCGTGGACGGCTGGTATTCTGTCTTTTGGAGCCTTCATTCGGGACGTGGCAGCGGCGGAGGCGGCGAGAAGACTGTCGGCAGCCGCGTGGAAGCTGGGGCGGCGCCGCGTGGCCCTAGGGTATCAAACCCTAGGGTTCCTCTCTGGAGCCATGTGGACCGTTGGATCGTGCCAGATCCAACGGCTGTGATGAGGCGGCTGAGGATGATTAGGGTTAGGAAACCCTAACTGGAAACCCAAACATTTAGGGTTTCTAGTTAGTTTTGGACCGGTTTCAGTTGGTTTGTAACTGGGCCGGTTGAATTGTAATTGGTTTGTAATTTATATGTATTTAATATATTTAATAATAAAAATAATAATAATAATATTAATAATGATAATAATAATATTATTAATAATAATAATAATAATAATATGGATAAAAAATAGTATCTTCAATTACCCTTAATATTTTTGTATATGTTTAAATTCAATTTAGTTTAAAATTTGAGTACAAAATTTTGTTTAAATATATCTATATATTTGTATATGATTAAATTTAACAATTTACACCGTTCATATGGAAATAACTGTTTATGTCATTCCCTGATATTAGTCCAACGAATTTGTTTCCTATTCCGAACTCGAACTGTAACATAAACATTTCATTCATTGATGCATTGCTTAGTCCATCGCGAAGATCATTGCCGGATGATCCCAAATATGCATTCATGAAAATGGTCCTGGATGTTTGAACTCGAACCGGAATTAGATCCATCTGAGATGCCTGAACTTGTAGAGCTACCGCCTTCTTGATCGACCGATAGGCGATAGCCACTTCGCGAATGTCGGCATAGGGCTCCTTGAGGGGTCTCTAGAGAAGTTAAAATGTTCTGCAACAGCTTGGTCGGTATTTATCGCCCCCTCCCACCGGCGGAGCCAGACTATACTATGACACCCCCCAAAATTTTTAGAAAAATTCTTTTAATCTAAATTTTATATAAAAATATTTAAAAATTAATAAAATTAATATATTTTTAAAAGAATATTCACACCCTAAACATAAATTGAAAGTTATTATTCATTTTCATTCACTTAAAAAGAAATCTTCATACAACTTCTAAATTTGACACCACAAAATAAATTTTCCCAAATTAGTAAACCACACATCACACTCCCTCCCTCCCTCCCCCAACACTTTTACCAAACCATAGCAGATGCAGCCATTGCCGACAGCAGATTGCAGGTGGCCAAACAGTCGACTGTCACTATTCTCATTGTTACAAACGACTGGCGAAAAAGATTTATGGGATTTTTAGGGATTTAAATATTTAGTATTTTAAGGATTTAAGTTTAGGAATGCAAGGGACAACGACAACGGCAGGTCATTGGGGTGGCTGCAATCAGGGTAACGACGGTGGTGATGGTTGGTGGCGGTGGTGTTTGGGGTTTGGGAATAAAGTTTTAATGTTTTAGGGTATTTTTTGAAATTTGAGAAAAATTTGAGGGTTTTTTAAATTGTAATTTTAAGCTTTTTATTTTAAATGAAATTTTTAAAATTATATAAATGTGACATGTGTCGCTTAATGAAAAAAAATTTAAAGGCCGTTACGATCGAGACACTTAAAATGATAATTTTGTAATGTTCACCATTTAGATTGACTGAAAAATATTTTAGACACCTAAATGAGAAAAATGGTATAGCTTGGGCACTTATTTTTATATTAGGCCTTAATATTTTACTATTGTGTTCATTTATATACTTTTGAAAATTTTCGTGTTCGTTTGTTTAACGTTCACAAACATGTTCATTTGGTATTAGTTTATACGTTCGTTTAATATTCGTTTATATCTTCACAAACATGTTTATTTAGCATTTGTGAACATGTTCAGAGCTAAAATATGGTAACATTACATCACTAATGTTTAAAATCTTTAAGCTTCATAGTTTAAACTCCAAGTTTCATAATGTGTTCAATTTAGTCCATACATTCACTAATATTTAAAATGTAAAAAATAAAAAGTAAACGAGTTTCTAGAAGAGCCATTAAACGAGTTTGCTCATGAACATAAACGAACGAGTAGATAAATGAGCTCATAAATGAACTTGTTCGTGAACATAAACGAACCGAACACACATTTGTATGTATTCGTTCGTTTATTAAATGAACATAAAAAATTTGTTTATACTCTTTTATTTAACTTAACAAACGAACATAAACTTACGTTATACGAACGATTTACGAACAATTCACCGAACGTTCTATTTACTTACACTACACCCGTAAAAGTTTAATAACAAATTTGATACTACATGTTACAAGTTCCAAAGGTTTGAATTTTTCTTTTACCTATTATGCATCATCTTGTACATTTTTTGAACATTTGGAATTTAATCCTTTCTTTTTTATTTTTTTAAACGAGTCTTTTATTTTTTGGATTAAAAATTCAAATCCAAATTGTTAAATGTTAGCTTTTGTTAAATTTAGTACAATATAGTTTTTCTATTATAGAACTATCAAATTATTATTATTATTATTTAAAAAATCAACTGATTCAACATAATAATTTTAGTAAAGATAACAATTAGACTTCAAATTTCTAAAAGATTGAGGCACTACATTTTAAAAAACAAAAAGTAAGAGGATTAGTATCCGAAAGGGTAAAGAGTAGTATAAGGTATTATTAGAGTGTGTTTTAACCTTCATTCTTCGCTAAAAAGAAGTGAAGGAAATACGTAAGAAAACTAGTCTTGTAAACGAACCAAACGCACATGATCGGAGGAATGTTAATGTTCGTTCATTTAATAAATAAACAAACATAAACGAACACGAACATAAATGAACAATTTTTTTTTTGTTCATGTTCGTTCATTAAGGTATATAACTTGTTCATGTTCATTCATTTAAATGATAAACGAACGTAAACGAACAAAAACGAACGAACATAATAAATAAACGTAAACGAACAACACAAACACACAAAACAAACTTATTCGAACACAACAAATGAATGTAAAAAAAAAGTAAACAACAAGAATAAAAAACTTAAAATTCTTTAATATAACCTGCAACTTTAGAGTTAATTTATTCGAATACGACAAAAACATACGTAAATCATAAATAAGTTATATGAACGTAATAAAGTCTTAAAGTTAATTTGTTCAACAAAACAATCTTCTTGAAATCCAAACAACTTCAATAATATTGGTAACATATTCAACTTGACATCTGTTCGAACATAAATGAACGAACATAAACGAACTTATAATCGAACGTTCACGAACGTAAATGAACGAACTAACCATTTGCTCGTGTTCGTTCATTTAATTAAATAAACGCAAAATCTTGTTCATGTTCGTTCATTTAATAAATAAACGAACATAAACGAACTTCCCGTCGCACGGTTCATGAACGGTTCGCTGAACGTTCAATTCATTTACATGCCTAAAGAAAACAAAAACAAAACTTGAAGCTAAGCCGGCAATTACCATATTTTTAATATTATAGTTAAAATATTAAAATAAAATAAACATTGCATGATTGAAACACCGACTAAAATTCAAAACTTTAACCATCACGAACTTAAAAGATAAATCATCCACATTTTGTCACCATGCCACCGGCCCTATTTCCTTAAAGAATCTGAGAAAAGGAATAAAATTAAATAAATATTCATCAAAGTCTTGGAATGGGTTGAAAGTTTTTTTTCCAGGTGGTTCCTTAAATTAAGGCAATTAATTAGAAGTTAACTCAAGATGAAATTATCAGAATTTAATTAAAAAAAAAATCAAATATCATAATGGAGATTTTAAGTTCGAGTATAAAATATATCCATAGGGACATATGAGTGTTTATTCTCAAATGATTGAGAACCTTTTAAATAAATATTATCTTATAATTACCTCCTATTGATAAAAAATGAATTTATTATATATTTAGTCTTAAAAAACAGAGAGATAAAATTTAATTTAATTAACTTTAAACTAATATAAATCTAAAATGTTATTAGATCAAAAATTTTAAAGAGACTAAAAACCTTTTATTTTTTTATGTAACTTTGTCCTTAAATTTAACTAATGTATTTTTAAAATCATTTGATCAAATAGTCATTTTTATTTAATTTTTTAAATACTTTAATCATTAGTGTTTTATTTTAAATCAAAATAATATTTTTTTAAATAAAAATAACTAAATAACTAACTATCAAAATTTCTTATTAACTAAATATATTCACATGAGATTGGATGCTAAAGCTACATTACCATAGTATATATATAAATAAATGAGACACGGAAAGAACCCAAGTAATGTAACCTTCATAATAAGTAATTTAAGTGAAAGAGACATTCTCAAGAATTTTTCAACACTTCCTGCAACCTGGTAATTTAATTGCTTCTTCTTCCTTAAATTCGAATAAAATATGTTGATATCTTCAAGGATTTTATTATATCTACCCATAAGCCATTGTCATCGCTTTATTTTTTAATGAAGGTTACTTTCCTCTCCGATTACTCCTCATCAAATAAAAAATTATAAATATGATGGATTATATTAAAATAATAATAAGATAGGAATATATAACGTCAATATATCAGATATTAATTCAATAATAATAATGCAATGGAAGATGCCAAGCAAGGAAGACGATCCAACATGGAACCTTGGAAGAATAAAACTCTATAATGATTGGAAGTTCATTATTTTATTAAAATGTCCTTTTCTTATCTTCTTTTTCATGCTGTTTCTTCACTTTATATATACTCAAAAACTATGAACTGGCAGTCAAATCTCAACCTGAAACAGCATCTTCCATCATCCAAAGATGATGCAATCAGATAATTTTCCACTTTCATGGACATTCGAGAGCTTCTTGAATTCAACCATTGATCAGTCCTACGCTGGCCTTAATATGGGTTTCCATTTTGATCAGTCCTCTGAAATTTCCCATTTCTCTTCAATTTTCCCATGTAATGATCAGTTCCAGGACCCGTTGGAGGGGCTTGAGTCCATGCTGATCGATGGGATCGACGATATATACAATTGTTTGGATGAGAGTGAAGCATTGTCGTCTCCAAGTCGAGAATTTGACAGCCCCAGTGCATCGATGAGATCGAGTGAAGGATCGACGCTTACTCTGCCCGGTGATGCCATGCAGATCGATACTCAATTGAGCGTGTTTCATCTTCTCAAGGCGTATGCAGAAGCTATAGAGAAAAACCAGTCGGAGCTGGCCGAGGTGATCCTAAGGTCCGTCTGCGAGAGAGCGAGTCCGGTCGGTGAAACTTGGGAAAGGGTTGCATTCGGTTTATGTCGAGACGTTCAACAATATGGAAGTGATTACCTTATTCAAGAGTCTAGCAAGAACTTTGAGGCGGCTCTCAGGGTGTTCTATCAGATGTTTCCATATTGGAGATTTGCACATTTTGCTTCCAATTCGGCAATCCTTGAAGCCATGCCGAATGATGCAGACATGCTTCACATTGTCGATTTCGACATCAGTGAGGGAATTCAGTGGCCTCCGGTCATCGAGGCAATGGCATCGAAACACAAGTCGATGAGACTGACATCGATATGTTGCGGAGACGAAGACATCGATCGGTTTCCGTGCAGATTTGAGGACAGAATGAGGCAACTTTGCGACCATGCCAGGTCTTTTGGTGTAAACTTGAAAGTGGAAGAAATGGGAATCCATGATTTGGTGAATGAGCTGAAGATTAAGAAACGAGGCGGCAATCGAGAATGGTTGGCCTTTAATTGCACAGTAGGGATCGGAAAACGCCGGAGCAGGACGATCGTAAACGAGTTTCTAAACATAGCTAAAGACTACGTTTCAAGACACAAGGGGATTATAACATTTGGTGATGGATACGCTTATGAAAAACCGAAAGACTGCTCGGAATTCGCCACATTCTTCGATGACCAATTGACGCACTACCAAGCTGTTTTAGAATCAATGGAATCCGGCTTCGCAAAGCACCTGCTGCAAGCAAGAATGGCAATGGAGTGTCTGTTTGTAGGACCTAATATATGTGGTCAAGCGTGGCTGCAACAGTGGAAGGAGATGAACGAAACTCAGCATTTCGATGCAGGCAACGCAATCAAGGGCTTCAGGGTAGGCTCGGAGAGGTTACTCGAAGCTCAAGAAATAGTGAGAGACGGGGATAATTTATACGAGGTGACCATTGGAGGGGATTCTGATAACGAGTTAGCCTTAGAGTGGAGAGGCATTACACTAGTCAGAGTCTCCTCTTGGAGAAATTAATGCTAAACTTCATGTACACAGAACTATAGGATTTTTTGTGTTGAAATTCTATAAAAACCAGAATGTCTGTACATTGTAGCAAGTACGAACTCTCGAGCATGAACGAAAACCGGGATTCAAAGAGCTGGTTTCGACACCAGAGCCGAATGCTAGTTTTAGATTAGATTTTGTGTTCATGTACAATTTTTTTTTTCCTGTTTCAGCTTCTTCTCTCTGCATTCCTTTTGCAGATACCTTCCTTTCTTTTCTGTTTTACTGCTTTTGATGTAGAGATAAATGATAGAATTTGTGAAATATAATCCATAGTTAATTAAGCATTGTATATTTAAATGTCTGGGGTTTAGTATTTTCATGAAAATATTTGAGTAAAGATATGATTATATGCTAATAAGTAGTCATTATGTAATTGGAATATTTGGTTGCTGCAGAGTTGTGCAGCACATGGCTTTTATCATGAATATTCTTATTTAGTACTCACATCCAAGTTATCCATGTAACCAAAAATTAGGTCTGGCTTTTCATTTTTTAAGCAATAAAGTCTACAATTTTTTACATTTGTGTATAGATGAAGCAAATTTCGATTTAATATTAAAAAATATTATTTTTTATTTTATGTTATTTGAATCAGTTCCAAATATAAGCTTAAGTTTTGAGTTCAAATTTGTAAAGTTTGGAAAATAAAAAATTAAAATAATATTATTTTGGTCTTTGACTAATAAAATTTGAATGTTTTGTGATTTTGTCCTTGATTTTTTTTCTTGTTCCTCCTTCGTTTTAAGTCAAATTTCTTACCAATTTTGAACCTCATGTTCCTCGATCATTATAGAATACCTATTTTACTTCAATTTCTAATTTTAACATCTTTTTCAATTTTGTCCCTCAAATTTATATGATTTCTTTGTTTCTTTAATTCTTTCTTCATTTTAAGTCCATTTGGTCAAATTTGAACCACGTGATCCTCTATATAATACATACGTAACTTCAATTCTTATTTTTGATAATAAAATTCTTCCTTTTCAATTTAGACTACTAATATTATATTTTATTTAATTTGATCCTTCAATTGTAATTCTTTATAAATTCATTTTTCCATCAATTCCTAATTACTCTATACTCCCATCAATACTTTATTCTCAAAATCTATTCTTTAAAAAATAACATTATAAATATATCATATAATTTTAGATGATATTTGATTTATTTAAATAACATTACAAATCCTACTTACAAGCGTGAAAAATAACGTGAAAAAATATCAATCAATATCATAATATTACAAATAATTATATTTAAATTTGGACATGAATTCAAACAAATATATTCGACTTGAATTAACCTCAATTAATAGAACTTGACTGATAAAATAGCACTCGTAAATCCGATTATCTTAAAATTTTTCACTCGACTTGATTCAATTGAATGTTCACCCAAAAAATATATAGACATATTTTTTGGTAAATTGAATATATATAAGAATATTTTTTTTTACAGAAGTGGTTAATTTTATTAAAAAATAAAAAATGCTCAAATTACAATATAAGATTACAATCAGAACCGTAAACTAAATACATAATAAGGATATTTTCCTATAATCATTAATACAAGAAAATTAATCACTTAATATCAAACAAGGATCATACAAGGAACTTAAATAAATAAATCCGAACAAAAGATATATACGAAGAGATCTGACCGCATTAGCAAACGAAGTACAATAAGAGATCAAGTTGTTGAAAAACCATCGACAAACCGAAAATCAAAAGCAAGCGACGTGAAAAATTATCTACTAATGCTAATCACAATTAAAAATCCAATCGAAAGGTTTAAAACAGGAAAGATCAATATAATAACAAATAAATACCACCTTAGTTGGTCATAACGATATCCAATTTAACCATAAAAAACAAAAATAACTCTCGTATAAAGAATATTTGAATATATTAATTACGTGTTTTTATATCTAAAAAATCATCCACATAAATGTACCAAATAATTATCCTATTATTAAATTATAAACACGCACAAAAGTAATCGAGCATTTTGGGAGGAGCCCAATTGTATGGGCCAAAAACATAATTTTATAAAGAGCCCAATCCTCGTCAGTATAAAGAATGTGAAGCATTAAGTCTCTAGGGTTTTCTGCTAGCCCCTCGCACCATCTTCTTTCAAGAGCTAAATCAACAGCATTTCATCAGGATGGTTAGCTTCTTCTTTCCCTTTATCTTTGGTATTTTGACGAGTTATGATGCACATTCACTCTTTTTATCTTCTTCCATTTGATTATTCTTCGGCTTTTTTTTAAGTTCTGAACAAATGAAGTAGTCCTGCCATGTCTATGAAAAATTTGGTTCATTGTTCTTCTGTGATTTGCATTGTCCATAATCAGATCTGGTATCTACGCCTCTCTTAAGTGATAATTGATATATAATTATCAGCTTTTGTAATGGAATCTTAGATAAATTCTATCGTCTTGTTTCACTGTGTAGCATTTTCTAAATTGCTAGATTGTTTAAATCTTATTATATTAGTTTAACTTTCTAATCTGTTAATTTGCGGTCTTGCCGTTGTTGATTTGGAATTGCTTTAAAAAAATTCTGCGTTGAAAGAGTAGAACATTTGAGCTTCGTTAACGCGTTTTATTTTCCTTGGTGGTACAGGCTAGAGGGTTGAAGAAACATTTGAAGAGGCTCAATGCCCCTAGGCATTGGATGCTTGACAAGCTGGGTGGTGCCTTTGTATGTTTTTGCCTTGATACTTTTTCTTCCATACCATTTTACTGCAGTTTCATCTTTTCTTATCTCCTCCTCGATACATCTATTCCACTTTAAATTTTCTTTTCTTATAATCCTATTATGCAGGCTCCAAAGCCATCATCTGGACCACACAAATCCAGGGAATGCTTGCCACTAATTCTCATTCTGCGAAACAGATTGAAGTATGCTCTCACATACAGAGAAGTTATTGCTATTCTCATGCAGAGGCATGTTATGGTGGATGGGAAGGTTCGGACAGATAAGACCTATCCTGCTGGTTTCATGGGTATGTGCCCTCTCTCGATATTCTTAGATTGAGTTGGTTCTGTTGATACACAGTCTTTAATTGAACGGTATGTATTTGGTTTGGTTACTCCGATTTCTATGGCTTTAGGATCCTAAAATCCATTCTTCGTCTTCACTAGTCTCGTTGACTTAACTCTTTTATTATAATTTATGAAAGTACATGATGCGTTGGGCAATATTCATTGGCATGTGATCTTGAGCTCTTGGATTGTTCCTGGATTAGCTTTAAGTGCTCCACATTTTAGGATATGCCTCCTTTCTCTCTGCCTTTCTGAGATTATTCTGTTGAAGTCTTGTGTAACATAGTTGATCACCTACTTCCAGATGTTGTGTCCATTCCTAAAACTAATGAGGACTTCCGTCTCCTTTATGACACCAAAGGACGTTTCCGTCTTCATGCCATCACGGGTGATGAAACCAAGGTTTGATCTATAGCAGTCAAGCATTTGGAATATATAACGGTCAAGCATTCCTACCTTCTTCACCCTGTACGTATAACAATATTGTTCATTTTTTCTGTTCTGCAGTTTAAGCTGTGCAAGGTTCGATCTGTCCAATTTGGCCAGAAAGGTATTCCATACCTCAATACATATGATGGGCGTACTATCCGCTACCCAGATCCTCTTATCAAGGCTAATGACACCATCAAGCTGGACCTTGAGAGCAACAAAATTGTTGATTTCATCAAGTTTGATGTTGGAAATGTTGTCATGGTGACTGGAGGAAGGAACAGAGGCCGTGTTGGAGTGATTAAGAACAGGGAGAAGCACAAGGGTAGCTTTGAGACTATCCATGTTCAAGATGCTGCTGGGCACGAGTTTGCAACTCGTTTGGGCAACGTCTTCACCATTGGAAAAGGAACAAAGCCATGGGTAACCCTTCCCAAGGGCAAGGGTATCAAGCTATCCATCATTGAGGAAGCTAGGAAGAGGCTTTCAGGCCAAAATGCTGCTTAAGCATTAGCATTAAGATATCCAGATATGTTTTGCTGCTGTAGTTTATTCTGGAGTTGATAGATTGCTTGTTTTCTGTTATGAGTAAAATTTTCAGGACTTTTTTCTTGCAGTTTATGTTGTTCATTTTTCCTCCGGATGTTGAGCCGCATAATGAAATGACGCTCCCCTTAGTTTTTGGGTAACTAAAAACATGTATTTATTGGCAAAGCTAAAAGGATGCTACAATGACATATAGGTAGATAGATTCCTATAACAGTAATTTATCGTTACATATTTGTTGAGCGTATATATGTAGTACATCTCTGAAGCACTAAAACAACAAAAAGTTACAACTTTTAGATGTGGATCATACAGCATCACTCCCCCTCGTGGATGAGCATTTGGTCAAATTGAGTCCTCTTGATTTGATTCATAATTTTATAAACTAGATTTGATTCAGAAAAAAATTTAAATAAAATTTGAGTTATAAAATAGAATTCAGATGATGTGAGTAATTTTGAATTTTTAGTAATTAGTATATAGATTTTCAAGTTCGAGTTGAGTTTTTCAATTTTGAATGATATATATATATATGTATGTATGTATAATATATATGATTATAGAAAACCGTTTAAATTGAAATTAATTTGTACTATAATATTATAAATATTTACAATTAAATTTAAATAGAAATTTGAATAACCTAAATCGATTCGAATAAAATTTGAGTTGTGAAATAAGACTAATTTACTTAATTAGAAAGTTTCTGACTTGACTCAACCGAGTATTCACTCATATTTGAAGCAAAATAACACTCGGTTATTATAAGTAATTACAATGATTTTATGAATGGAATACCAGATGACATAGGAAACCGAAAGATGAAGGTGATACGAGGAGCTTCATACCATGTCCTTTTCCGACTCGCCTCAGTTAAGAAACATGTTTTGATATCTTCTTAATGGCTTCAACCTGTAAACTTTATGTAATCCCTTCATAATTCTATCACTTATCGTTGAAAAGTGATTTATAGAGTTGGGGAGATGGTGGGGATCGTTTTGGACCGTGGGATATGAAATTAGGTGGTCGAACATGGTTGAGCAGGAGTGTGGCGAGCTCGTGGCTTATCCAATTCAACAAGCTTTTTGTGGTATCTTATCTTTGGCCACTTCATTGAAATGTAATCAAAATAGTTGTCACGTGTGAATGCCAGACTAAATTTTCTTTGCTCCACTCTTCCACACATCATCTTAGACTTTGTTGTCTTGCTTCCTACTAGTTATCTCTTAAACCATATTATATTTATATTTACTCACGTTCTCATAATATGTGATTTATTAGGCCAAAAGCTACTAATTATCATGAAGTAAGCCTGCAAGATTTGACATTTTGGACACCGTTACTCGTCATTAGCAAGAAACAAATAGCTCGTTTTTTCCAGTCTACAAGTTGTTCCTTTCTTTCTTTCGGTACAATAGAAACGGCTACGTTTTGCAGCCTACCATCTTACAACTCCTTCGCCTTCAATATCTTCTGTAGCAGAGCCATAATTCCTTCGGTGGGTTGGTCAGAATGTATAACCCCCCCACCCCCCTCCTCTTTCTCGAACGCCATGTTAGAGAGACGACCAACATATCGACTCTCTTTTCTCCAGATATGTTTGATTTCAATTATCTATCCCTCTTTTCTTAACTCTTTACAGTCCTTGAAATTCATCTCCTTTTGGATGTCGTCCACCCTCTTCTTTAGAGTTTCGATCACCCACTTTGCATCAGCTTCCACGATGAGATTTCTCGCTCCCAACGAAGGAAAATCTCCCTCTAGACAATACCCCGCGGCCGATGTACGTTACATTTAGGGCAGGTATGAACTCATCCTGAAATTTTATTTATATATATATAAATTTTATATGATTAATATATGTATGTCAACGTACAATCTCTGTGGGGAATGCAAATGGTTTCTAAAACGCCAAGTTTCAAATGAGCCTTACATGCATCACTAAACATTTTTCCTCCACTTAATAAGTTACACAGTAAAATGAAGTTAACCAAAAATAAAGCTTTTTATTTCCTCTTACATTCCAAATCTAAGAAGTATTACAATGATGTAGATATAGATATCCTTCAACAACACTTTATTTCCTCATATATATGGTAGAACATCTCTGAAGCACTTGAGCAACGAAAAGACCCAGCATTTAGATGTCGATCATACAGCATCACGCCCCCTCATTGAGGAGCATTTGATCGAAGTGCCAGACACCTGAAAACCAATTGCACTCGGTTATAACTAATAGTTCAACCATTGACCCAAAGATATTATGGACGGAATGCTGATGACATAACAAGATGAAACATATAGCTTTCACAGCTTACCATGTCCTTTTCCGACCCGCCTCAGTTGAGAAACATATTCCGATATCTTCTTAATGGCTTCAACCTATAAACTTCATAAACTTAGAAACCGGGGTCGTTCGAAAGATCTTTTTCGTTTCAGATATGAATGAAAGCTAAGGGTTGAGCTGACCTGCTCGGTTAAAAACTCGCTTTCGACGAAATCTGCCATCTGAGCGTCATTGTTTTGCTGGGCCACCTGTTATTCATCAATGAAGTAAGACCAACAGATTAGTTGTGGATTCAAACACTTCATCTACGGCTATGGTATGGCTGTAAGTTTGGGAACAAGTAGTATTACATTGTGCAGGTTCAAAAGCTTCTCGTTTGTCAGCTTCTCCAACGACAATGCTAGTTCCATAGCTGAACTCATTAAGAAATAGCAGGAAGTATGAGATATTTTCAACCATGAATCGATTAAGAAATGGCAGAAAAGGGAACAGTGACTGACCATATAGTGCATCTCCCTTCTCATAATGTTCAAACTCTGATGGCGGTGTCAGAATAGAGTGTAGTTTTACTCTTCCTCCTCGTATGTTCTAATCAAACAGTTGAAAATTTGTATCAGCTGCTCTCAAATGAAGGTGATACTAACCTAAACTAACTAGAAATCAAAAGAAAACCTGATATTCCATCAGCTTCTCCGCATGCTCTCTTTCTTCTTCACTGGATTCCTTGAAAAATCTGATTGCAACCATATCAAAGATCCATCATCGCCTACAGTTCTACAAAAAATGAAAATTTAGGGATGTTCGTTCTTACTTGGCTAAGCCTTTGAGAGCAACGTTGTCTCTGTCGAAGTAAGCGTACATCGAGTGGTACACGTAGGAAACATTGTATTCCACACTGTAAAACAAGATAAACAAAAACCCGTTAACAAAATGAAACACTACAACAAGATGGATTAAAAAGGTAAAACAAAGAACAAAAACTCACTTGATTTGCTCGTTGATGGCGGATTCACAGTCGTCGGCGTATTTCTGTCGAGCAAGTGAACGATCAGGGGCGATGGGAATATCGAGTTCCTCCTTCTTCACCTCTTCAAAGGGCTGGAATAGTACCCCTGTAAGTGCAGAATTATCGCTTCCTATGGATGCATAAACACCCAAAGCCCTTGCACGTTTTTCAAAAGGAAAACTCAGGGTGGATGAAGAAGGAAAAACAGAGGAACCCCGAAGGGAACAAATTAGATTATCCCCATTCTTGGGTTGGGCATACAGGGATGAAACTGATCTCAGAAGCATTGCTTTTCAAGGATTGAATTGAAAGAAGTGAAATACTTTGAGGAGCAATCTAAGAAATGAAGAAAGATGGCGGGTGAGTTGCGATTGCAGGGAAAGGGATGGGATATATAGAAGAAAGATCGGGAGGGGAGCTGTCACTGTTACAAGAGTCTGGAATGAACGGGGTTCGTTGTGGACCGTGGGATTGGAAATCAGGTGGACGATCGAGGTTGACACACGTAAGCAGGCGTGTGGAGAACCCGTGGTCTATCCAATGGAATATGCTTTTGCGGAATTTTTATCTCCCGTAGATTCTTTCCACATTGCCATCCTTGTTATCTTTTTTAAAAATTATATGCTATGAGTAGGGATGGCAACTCAACCCGAATTCGACGGGTTCCGATCCGATCCAACTCGATCGGGTCGGATTTTTTTTAAAAAAAATCGGGTTCGGGTCGGGTCTGATCGGGTTTTTTTTAAAATGCACTGTTTGGGTCGGGTCGGGTCGGGTTTAGGGTAAAAAAAATTCGACCCGACCCGACCCGAAAAATATATATAATTTTATCTTATATATTTAGGGATAATTACAATAATATCCCTCCATATATAATTTTTTTCAATTAAGTCACTGTTTTCATTGAATTAATTTTTTTTTTTATTTCGGGTCGGGTCGGGTCGGGTCGGGTTTCTAAGTCATATATTCGGGTCGGGTCGGGTCGGGTCGGTCACGGGTGGAGAACCCTTTCTTCTCGGGTCGGGTCGGGTGGCCCAAAAACCCGACCCGACCCGACCCATTGCCATCCCTAGCTATGAGTATATTAAATATTTATTTATTGTTATTAACAAGGGTTTATTTCTAATAGTAAGTAAGGGTGTCTTTGTTTGCCGTAAAATTAATTACAGAATTGGTTTTCCTCGAAATTTCGTATTTGTTTAATGTAATTCATTTTTCGGAAAATGTTTTTTCGTTTTTATTTCACGTAATTCGTTTTCCGGAACGTAATTCATTTTTCTAGTAACAGAATTTCCTTTGTGTTTTCTGTAAGATGACTTACGGATTCATTTTCCGAACTTTTCACTTCAAAACAAAAATACTCAAAATAATTTTATTTTATGAATTTAATATTAATAAAATATTTTAATATCATTTTCATCAAAATATTAATTATTAAAATATTTAAAATATATTTATTAATATTTATAATAATATAATATTATATTTTTAGTTTAATAATATAATCAATTATATTATAATAATATAAGATATTATATTTTTTATTTTAATAATATATAATAAATTTTTTTATATATTTAATAATGAATAATATTATTTATATATTTAAAACATATACTAGTAAAGATATTTAAAATATTCTAATTAATATTTTTAAATTATAATATAACACTATTACTTTAATAAATAATTAATATAATTTATAATATTTTATTTCACTAAAATATACCAATATTAATATTTTTATTAATAAAATTATAAAAAATATTTAATAATAAATAAATTATTTTAATATTTTAAAATAATAATATTAAGTTTTATGAGAAATAATATTATTTATTATATTTAATATTTGTAATAAATAATTTTTAAAAAACTCTTCAACTAGTGGAAAAAAATGTTTAAATAACATCTTCCAAACATCATAAAACGTTTTCCAGATGTTTTCTAGAAATGTAATTCATTTTCCAGAATTCAAATTCCAGTAATTCATTTTCCAGTAATTCAAATTCCAGTAATTCATTTTCCGGAAAACTAATTACAGGCAAACAAACAGACCCTAATTTGATATCGTTTAAGTAAGATTTTGAGTTCGGGTTCTTATGTATGCAGAAAATTCCAGTTGGGAGAGTCACTCACCAAAACCATGTGTGTGCGCGGGTCGGTCCGGATTAGTCAAGGCGAAACCTTAGAGTCGAAAGGTCAACAAAAAAATATTTATTTATTGTTGATTTAATTAAAAATAAATGTTTCAATAATATTTTTACATTAACTTTAGGTGTTTAATTTTTTTTTATCAAAGTATATATTTCATACTTTAAAAATTATTTTTTTAAGATCATTTTTGTAACAAACATTTAAAAAAAAATCAAACATTCAAAATATGATATGTATTATTAAAGCCAAGTGGATTTTTCTAGAAGTCTATGAATTTATCGAATTCTCACCAACTCGTCAAAGTTTATGAATCGAGGGTTTTCTAAAAGTCTATGAATTTATGGATTTAAAATTTAGGGTTTTATTGTCGACACACGTAAGCAGGCGTGTGGCAAACTCATGGTCTATCCGATTGAATAGTCTTTTTGTGGAAATTTTAGCCCAGAAGATTCTCTCCCATCTTTAGCATGTCATCAAATTATATATTTATTATTCTTAATATATATATTAAATTTTCATCTTAATAATTTATAATAAATTGTGGATATTGGTATAGATGTTGTGTTGATACAAGGACGAGATACTTAGAGGATTAGGTGTTTTAAATCCAAGCACACGTCCTCTTTAAGATGAGATCTTAGAAGGGGAATTGTCATATCTGTCTTATTTTTCTTATTATTTTAATTTTACTTCTTTTTATTATTTTGTTACTTTAGTTTAAATTCATGTCTTTTTTAATAAAATTATTTGGAATATTTTGTTTCATAATCCTCTTTGATCTTATCAAATCTGCAATCAAATTATCAACCAGAGTTGAAATGATCCAAACTTTATCCGTCATCATTGGAGATAAGATTGATTAAGAGATTTTAAAAAGTGATTTTTGTTATTGATCGAATGGGTATACTTGAGCCTATCCAGTTTGTTTTACTTTGGGTATAGGCTAATCCAATGAGGGCTAAGTTGAGTTTTTGGGGGGCCTGATGTATTGGGCCGAACAAATTGTATATTTAAAAGATAATAGACATCAAGACAATTATTTTAAATTAAAATTATTATTTATTTAATTAACGATGTTTATTTCTGACGTGATATGTTTATATTAAAGGTTTAACGTAAAAAGTGCTCAAACTATATTGTTTTTCTCAAAGTGGTACTTAAACTTTTTTTTTAATCAATACAGGTGTCTAACGTTACAAATGTTACCACTTTAGATGGTCGTTAAAATATTGTGTTAAGTGGCATGTGTCGTATTTAGGTAATTTTGAAAATTTTAAAATTATATTTTAAAAAAACCTAAAATTTCAAAAATTTTAAAAGATCTCCAAAATTTTAAAAACCTAATTCCAATCCCTATATCCACGCCTATCGCCGCCGTCATCTTAGACCAGACCTCCACCTAATGAACAACTAAACACGAAAACCCATAAACCACGAAGAACAACCAATGAAGAGAATGACGAGCCGAACTCCAAACGACGAAATCACGATACCCAAGCGACCCAACGATGCTTGCAACGGAAAGGGAGACAACGACTAACAAAGGAGATGACAAGAGTGACGGAGGCAACGACAGTCGTGGCCGACAATTGCGTCGGTAATGTTAAGATTAGGGTTTAGGGTTGCTTTTAGGGATTTTTAGGGATTTGAGTTTTTTTAATACAATTTTAAAGAAATTAGGGATTTTTTTTATAAATATAATAATATTTAAAGTTCTTTTATAAAAATATTTATAAAAAAAATTATAGTTAATATATTGTGTGCTTAAGTATTGATGAGATATAAATATATTGTGTGCTTAAGTATTGATGAGATATATTATTCATGGATAAACGTTGAGGTGATATGCATTGACTACTTGAATTGAATTGATCAACATTGAATGACCAAAAATGTCCAGTGATCAGTCACGCAAAGAATCAAGCAGTCACACAAAGCAGAGAACATTGCATATTACACTTGGAGCTCAAGAGGCAGACGAAGACAAATGCAGAGCATCTCCATTTAAGCTTTTGGCTAACTTTTAGGGACCGGCTTATGGACACCACGCGACTATAACTCGAGATACGGTTGTTTCTTTTAAAAATTCTTATTTTTTAAATTTTTATAATTTCATTTCCTGTAGAATAGAATTAGAATTAGAATTAGAGTGCAGGGCAGGGCAGGCTTGTGGATAGCGCATGGCTTCTCTACTATCATCAGCACAATAAACTAATAATATTTTTAAGTGACAGATCCAAAATTATTTTTAACAGTAAACACATTTAAAGTATGATAAAATATACAAATTCTTTCTCAATTATAAGGTGTTTTTTTATTAAGTCCCTTAACTATTAAAAATTACAAAATGGTCACTATAAGAAGTTATTTTGTTTAGTCTATCGATTATTAAAAATTATAAAATGGTCATTTTACTATTCATATGTTCCAAAATCATCCTTTTCCGTTAAAAAATTGATGTTCGTCTGAGTTAGGTGTTAACTTGTTGACTGAGATACGATAAAATCGTATTTTAATGATGTTTATTGGTATCATCGTTGCTTTCAAGCACTGGCTCACCAGCATAATTTTTAAACACTGACTTGATGACATAATGTAAATAGAGATTCAATCCACAAAATATAGCTAAAATGATTTTGGGATCATATTTTATCATTTATCAGTCAACAGCTTAAAGTCCATCTCAAACGGTTGCCAATTTTTTAACAGAAAATGATGAGTTTAGAATATATGAATAGTCGGGGGACCATTTTATAACTTTTAATAGTCAAAGACTAAATAAAGTAATGTCTTGTGGTAGGGGGATCATTTATGTAATTTATCATTTATATTAATAGCAAAAAAAATTCATATGAGATCAACAAAAATAAAATTTTTGAGTGGTCACTATCAATAAAAACATACAATTAATATAAAGAAAATTCACATTTTAAGATGAACACGTTTCCACTCTGAACAACACATACGTCCGTCACTATAAGCTGTGAACCGATGATTAAAATTTTCGCTTGTAAAATATGTACCTGTTTGTTAATAGTATATTTATTATACTTCCAAAATATATAGTGCTATTCAATTGAGTACTGGTTCAGTTAGTATCATTAATACCAGTTATATTATTTTTTAATCGTATATTAATCAGCTTCACACCAGAACCTCCCTACATACAATGAGTATGACACCCATGTACATAAATGATGGTACATGGGATTAACATAAAAGGGTTCTTCAAGTCTTGTCATGAAGAAAGTGGTGGCAGAACAAAGTTATTATTTTCAACTAAATGACCCAAAAAAGTTGAGCATATATACTCTCTGTCCATACTCTCTAGTGGATGAAGTTGATTATCTTCCCTCCCTATCATACCATCGTCCAACTTCATAAATAATTAATTAAAAATTCAATAGAATTACAGGGAATATTAGTTTATACCAAAATTTTAATTATAATTAAATTTTTACTAATAAATATATTTGAATTCACAGCTTATTATATCTGATGATAATAACTATATCAATGAAGTTATTTATACTAGTATAGAATAATGATGGTAAAACGTGCATGAAAGCTCCAAATTTCTCTATATCTCCAATTCGATTCTCTCCCCTTGGATAGCTACCTCCAATAAATAAAAATCTTCTAAATTTTCATTTATATATTCCTTCCTTTTTTTTCTTTTTAATTTTCAAACAAAGATATTAGAAAGTAAATAATTCCCAGCACAACTACTTCATTCAACCCGAAAGCGATCTCAAATTCCCTGCCCGCACTTTGATTATATATTCGTACCCAAGCAGCTCTTGTTTGTCACCATTGTCTTCAACAATGGCCACCGAGGCTTCTCCTCCGTACCGGGCAGCACCTCCTCCAGACTTCCACCCCGAAGTCTCACTTTCCCAATCGCCAACCCATGATGGCCTCCACTTTTGGCAGTTCATGATCGCTGGCTCCATAGCCGGCACCGTCGAGCACATGGCCATGTTTCCTCTCGACACACTCAAGACACGCATGCAAGCTCTCGGTGCTCCATGCTCGATCCAACCCTTCGGTGTTTGTCAAACCCTCGGTTCCATCTTAAAGCTCGAAGGTCCTTCCATACTTTACCGTGGCATAGCAGCAATGGGGCTCGGCGCAGGACCCGCACATGCAGTATACTTCTCCGTTTACGAGCTATCTAAGCAAGTTTTGTCCCGTGGCAACCCTAATAACTCGATGGCTCATGCCGCTTCCGGCGTGGTAGCCACCGTAACGAGTGACGCGGTGTTCACTCCTATGGATATGGTGAAGCAGAGACTCCAGCTGAAGAGTAGTCCATACAAAGGTGTGGCGGATTGTATGCGGAGGGTCGTGACGGAAGAGGGGATCGGAGCCTTCTACGCTTCGTATAGAACTACCGTCATTATGAACGCACCGTTCACTGCGGTTCACTTCGCCACATACGAGGCAGCAAAGAGGGAGTTGATGGACATGTCGCCCGATACAGTCAATAATGAGAGGTTGATAGTTCATGCCACCGCCGGTGCCGGTGCAGGAGCCCTAGCTGCTGCCGTTACAACCCCGCTTGATGTTGTTAAAACCCAGTTGCAGTGTCAGGTAAACACTTGTTTAATGATAATTACTCCTTTTTCCACCCTTTTACCCAACTTGGAAATATTGATATACTGGTTCTGTCAATGGGTTGATGTTGAACAACCAGGGAGTTTGCGGCTGCGATAAATTTTCAAGCAGTTCAATCGGGAATGTTATTGAAACGATAATGAAGAAGGATGGATACAGGGGGCTAATGAGGGATGGATTCCGAGGACGCTCTTCCATGCGCCGGCTGCTGCAATCTGTTGGTCTACTTACGAAGCATCAAAGTCCTTTTTCCAACGGCTAAACACCGGCTATAATACTAAGTTGGCTAAAGAAACCAAGTGTAGAGATTTCTCAGCTTCATCGCCTCAAATCAAACCAATAACATTTCACACATGGAAAATTCAGTGGACTTGTCTCTAAGAATATGCACAATTTGAACACTTTCCCTCAATAAATCCTTCAGTTTCTCAAGTTGTGAATTCATATATACTAACCATATAAAAGATCTTTATACACCAGGTTCGCTGCATTGGCAACATAATAAAGTCTTACCACAATATCAAAACCATAAAGACCTAGACAACCAGTCTTTGCACTTGATTTTGAATACTAAAACTTATTATTATGGATACAAATGTATGAAGATTCTAATCACTTCAAAACTTATCTACACTTACTCCATCCCTCGAAACCTCGTACGCCTCTCTACTCCGGCTTTTCTTCATTCCAGCTGTGACACGGAGCTTTGATCCTTCACATATGACGCTGGTTACTTTTACCCATACAATCACCTTCGTCTTCATTCCCTCTATATCAGCCAGTTTTCCTTTCTCCAGATACCCGGTCACGGTGGTGAAGAAGCGCAGAACAGATGAGTCCTTATATCCCACTTCACATATAGCTGGAATAAAAACAGTGAGCTTCCCAGTCTCTTCATTGAATTCATAGTTTGTCGCATCACGAGGGAAGATTCCTATCGGCAGGTTATACTCTTTTAACAGCTCAGGCAACGGCTTTTGCATTTTTCCTGTAAAAACCAAATATTAGTACCGATGATGATTTTTTTTTTTTTGGGGGGGGGGAGGGAAGTCACTAGGAACTACAGCATACTCTTGTATCAAATAAAGTGTCGATAATAAGTCCACATACTCCAAGTTAACACCATTAATACCCCAACCCACATACAGAAGTCTTCATGGGAATGTTTGAAATTGAACGTTAGGTAGTGATGTTAAAGTTATTATAAGGACCAATGTGTTCATTTTTTACAATCAATATCTATTGAAATTAGGGTTAACCATGGGAAAATGCTATAAGCTTTCTATTGGCTTTGCTTGGTATGGACGGAAAATTTGTTAATCAATTGGTTAGGATTCATAACCCCTTTCTTACTTTGTAGTTTAACCATTGGATTAAAAAAATTTCTATCCTCACTAATTTCCACCCTTCGTCCCAAGCAGGGCTCAGGTATTATCAAATGGCATAATGTCAAAAAACACTCCTAACGTTCGACTAAATAGTCACTTTGACCTCTATTTTTTTTTCTTTTGGAGCATTTTACGCCTAACGCTTCATTTTAGGGTAAAAATGCCCCTAACGTTTGATTAGGGCATTAACCATTTGTTGACTAACGAGTTCTATCAGCAAAGGAGTCTTTTTGTCCCAAATTGAAACGTTCGGAGCCAAGATGCTCGAAAAAAGGATAGAGGCCACAATAACTATTTAATGAAACGTTAAAGATTTTTTTTTTTGCAGCGGCCACTAAGTATCCCAAAACAGATTAGAGACTAATGGTTAGCATATGTTCCTTACAGGTTTACATTCAGCAGCTAATATTATATGTCAGTTGTATAAAGCACAAGCAATGAACTGAATACACATTTTATCCTTCTGAATAGCATAGAATAGTTATTTATACCACGTTAAACACTAACAAAAGAAAATAGAAGAAAAGGGCTCTGCAATAGAATGTCAAACCTTTGATTTTATTAACCAACCATTTGGCTCCTCCTTCAATACTGGTGGATAATGACTGATTAGAACAGAGGGAAGATGATGTTAGATTGAAGAATGTGAATAAGAAAAGATAGACATGTAGAACTCAAGGGTATTCATCCACATACCAGATTTGCAGCATTTGGAGAAAACATAAAACGATACTATAACATTCTTCTTCATAATGACCAAAGAATTCTTAGATGAACTATATTGTTTTTAACATTACAAAAGACTGCGTTTCTCCCAATTTTCTAATAAATCGCGTTAAATACTATATAAAAATATGAAATTTAGCACAGAATTGGAAGCCAAACAGACCAAAAAAAAAGATTTTCAATCACTCGTATGTTAAAATTTCAGGTAACAAAGCAGAAGAAACTGTGTAATAATCAAGTAATCCGCATAGATCAAAATTGATTCTATTAGTAAAGAAAATTGAACTGAGAAATTGAAGAGGAAGTGAAGGAAAAGCATACGTTGAGGTCATCGCCGACGGAATCGATCTCCTTGTTGGCCTTCTGGCCCAGCCAATAGGAGCCCACCTTGTTCAAAATCTGATCCATTTCTGAAAAATTTTGGCTGTGGAATCTCAAATCTCGATTATCCCTATTTTTAGTTTTATGAATCTATCCCCCTCCTCTGTTTTTCTCTGCTACTATATTCTACTTGTGTTTATATTTTTTTATTTTTTTAAAGCGGGTTGAATTTCGTATATATATTTGAAGTGAAACTCCACCATATTTCCTTTAACTAAACGCTAAAAAGATATATCAACTTAGAAACACCATGCATTCTACATTTATATAGCCCATCAATTATAGTGTACTTTTTAGTTGCATCTTTCAATTTTTAAAAAATTTATAAAATAATCATTTGATTAATTAAAAGTTACATAATGTTTTATTTCCGTTAAAAGTTGAACGTCCAGTCTACAAATTAAATCAATACATATTCTACATCTTACATCAAAACGACGTCGTTTTGGACGGATATAAAAGACTTAAGCTTCATTTCATTTATTTGTATGGTTTTCTTTCTATATCTAGCATATCTTTCTTTGTGTATTCTTCATACAAATATGAAAAACCGACAGATTAAATTAGTGGATCATTGTGACGACCACCACGCTAACTGTCAGCTTCGACAGTCAATAATCTTGAGAACATCTGCTCCGCTTTTTCAATCAATGTTTCCACCATTAAAATTGGTTAGATCTACGACATTCGCCATCAGACCGATGTGATTCTGGTAATGTACTGCTTCCCTTTCCAATCAATGTCTCCGCCATTAAAATTGGTTAGAAAATTGTCGGAGTTTAATCTACGAAATTTTACTTAAACGAAATTCTTTTTCCTTTTTATTTTTAAGGTTTATTTTTTAGGGATCTAATGTCATAGTTTTAACTTTCTAATAATTTTAAAATTATTTATTTCTTAATATCACATGAATATTGTGTGCAATTTAGTAATTATTATAAAATTTTGAAGTCAATATGTTAACATTCAAGGCATACTTCTATTAATTTTTAATAATGAATCATTTTATGACCTTGGATTAGTCAATGGTTTTTTTATATTTGTTATAATCGGGTGTTTAATTATAAATATATTATAATTGAGGGATTGTCTGAACAATTTACCCTTATATTTTTCAGATAAATGGATTATTATTATTTGCAGTCAAGTCAGGTTAATTAAATGATTATCCTGTCCTTCGGCTTACTATTCCAGCAACTTGATCGTCTATTTGACCACCCTCTATTCTGTTTTTCTAAAATGACTTTAGCTTTTGACCCTCTCTCCCCTAAATATTTACGAAATTTTGGCACCCACTGAATTGACATTCATGCCCTTCGGCCGATGATCAATCAGCTGTTTTTTTTTTCTTGTAGTTCACTCCTCAAAATATTTTGTGATACAAATCAAGGTTTTCAGAATCAATTGGTTCAGCTGTCGATTCTCGATTCAATTAATCTAGTTTTTAGTCCGATCCATTTATTATAGTTTAATGTTATGATAATATGGAAATAGAATTTATATTAATTAATTTGATATGATTTAGTGATTAATACATAGATTTATTTTAAATGTATATACAATAATACAAATATAAAGGTGCATGAATGGCTTAGGACCACTCATATTTGCATAATGCCATCTTTTAGCCAACCTTGGACCGTCATTGTCTATGGGTTATGGGAAATGGATTACTTTCATCTTTGTTCTCATTATTTGCCTAATTAACTTGAACCATAACTCTAGCAATAGTAAAATTACAAAGATTAAATTGATATTTTAATTAAATTCAGGGACCATAGTAAAATTTTAATTAAATTTGGATCCAAATTAATAAAACAACTAAAATTGGAGTACCTAATAGTGTAATTATACCATTTTCTTCAAATATTGGTTTAAAAGCCCAAAAATAAGAAATTTTCCATTTCAAAAAGTTTAAACCCTTCTCCTCTCTCTCTTCAACATTTCCTCTTTTAGTAGGAAATATTTAATCGATGTTTCGTCGTCGATCGTTGTTTCGTTTTCGACATCTCTCATACCATCGTGTTTCTTACGTCGTCCTGAGTTTACTGGTATTCATCTTGTCTCTGTTGTCGTCGGCGTGTGAGGGGGTGAGAAAGATCAAGCTTTTGATGTTACGAAATCGAGCTCTCCACCGTTCACCGCTATGAACCGAGCTTGGTAATCATGTTTCCCCCAACCAAAGGTCGACTAGATCCGATGCTTCCCGTCCGTCAGATCCGCTCAATCTGAGTTCTTCGAGAGTTACTCGTATATTTTGTAAATTGTTTAAATAGATATTATTATTCATATTAAGATTCCGATATAGATTTTTCGATTCTTAAGATCTAGTGTTGTCGTTAATCGTGATCGACATACTCAGTAGTAGGTTTCCCTATCAGACTACTAAGACTGATACAAGTGTGTTTCTTGATAGTGTTACATTACTATTTTTTGAATATTTTCACTTGAATACATACATGTTTATTACTACTTGGGGTATTATTGGAGGAAGTATATAAGGCATAGTCTATAACTTGTAAGACCTTACCTCAGACTCCTCTGCTTTGTGCACAAAATAAGTCCTTACAGCACTCCTTATGCTATATGTATGAGGCTCTTACCGAGTGTACAAGTGGGTGTATGGTTCTGGGGAATCTACACACTATGGTGATCGGTTGGGGATATTGTTCATATTTTAAAAATATGTTTGATGAACTATTTTTTTACTAAAGTATTTTATTTGTATGTTTTTATACACTGTAAGGATCATACTGGGTTTTTTTTGCTCATTATGTAAATTTTAACATTTTCAGATAATAGCAGACCATAGACTAACGGACTTATCATAAGGAAGATCATCTACTCTGTTTTTGTATCATTGTATATCTTTATAACTTTAGTTATACTTTTGTGACATATATTTTTGCTACTTCTTGGTATTTATATTACTGATATTTTGTTATATATATGTTTTTATACAATTTTTTAATATATGTATATATATATATATCATATAAATCTTTCTTGTAGTTAATTTCGTATTATATTATTATATAAATTTTACTATTGTTTTAAATATAAAAATAATTTATAAATATAATATTTAACCGTCTAGGTTTAGTCAGGACCTATGAGTTACAATTTAGCCTTATATTTCTCAGATAAATGGATTACTATTATTACTTTTATTTGGAGTCGGGTTAATTAAATGACCATCCTGTCCTTCAGCTTACTATTCAGCAACTTGATCGTCTATTTGACCACCCTCTCTATTTTTCTAAAATGACTTTAGCTTTTGACCCTCTCTCCCCTACATATTTACGAAATTTTGACACCCTCTGAATTGACATTCATGCCCTTCGGCCGATGAACAATCAGCTGTTTTTTTTTTCTTGTAGTTCACTCCTCAAAATATTTTGTGATACAAATCAAGGTTTTCAGAATCAATTGGTTCAGCTGTCGATTCTCGATTCAATTAATCTAGTTTTTAGTCCGATCCATTTATTATAGTTTAATGTTATGATAATATGGAAATAGAATTTATATTAATTAATTTGATATGATTTAGTGATTAATACATAGATTTATTTTAAATGTATATACAATAATACAAATATAAAGGTGCATGAATGGCTTAGGACCACTCATATTTGCATAATGCCATCTTTTAGCCAACCTTGGACCGTCATTGTCTATGGGTTATGGGAAATGGATTACTTTCATCTTTGTTCTCATTATTTGCCTAATTAACTTGAACCATAACTCTAGCAATAGTAAAATTACAAAGATTAAATTGATATTTTAATTAAATTCAGGGACCATAGTAAAATTTTAATTAAATTTGGATCCAAATTAATAAAACAACTAAAATTGGAGTACCTAATAGTGTAATTATACCATTTTCTTCAAATATTGGTTTAAAAGCCCAAAAATAAGAAATTTTCCATTTCAAAAAGTTTAAACCCTTCTCCTCTCTCTCTTCAACATTTCCTCTTTTAGTAGGAAATATTTAATCGATGTTTCGTCGTCGATCGTTGTTTCGTTTTCGACATCTCTCATACCATCGTGTTTCTTACGTCGTCCTGAGTTTACTGGTATTCATCTTGTCTCTGTTGTCGTCGGCGTGTGAGGGGGTGAGAAAGATCAAGCTTTTGATGTTACGAAATCGAGCTCTCCACCGTTCACCGCTATGAACCGAGCTTGGTAATCATGTTTCCCCCAACCAAAGGTCGACTAGATCCGATGCTTCCCGTCCGTCAGATCCGCTCAATCTGAGTTCTTCGAGAGTTACTCGTATATTTTTGTAAATTGTTTAAATAGATATTATTATTCATATTAAGATTCCGATATAGATTTTTCGATTCTTAAGATCTAGTGTTGTCGTTAATCGTGATCGACATACTCAGTAGTAGGTTTCCCTATCAGACTACTAAGACTGATACAAGTGTGTTTCTTGATAGTGTTACATTACTATTTTTTGAATATTTTCACTTGAATACATACATGTTTATTACTACTTGGGGTATTATTGGAGGAAGTATATAAGGCATAGTCTATAACTTGTAAGACCTTACCTCAGACTCCTCTGCTTTGTGCACAAAATAAGTCCTTACAGCAACTCCTTATGCTATATGTATGAGGCTCTTACCGAGTGTACAAGTGGGTGTATGGTTCTGGGGAATCTACACACTATGGTGATCGGTTGGGGATATTGTTCATATTTTAAAAATATGTTTGATGAACTATTTTTTTACTAAAGTATTTTATTTGTATGTTTTTATACACTGTAAGGATCATACTGGGTTTTTTTTGCTCATTATGTAAATTTTAACATTTTCAGATAATAGCAGACCATAGACTAACGGACTTATCATAAGGAAGATCATCTACTCTTGTTTTTGTATCATTGTATATCTTTATATAACTTTAGTTATACTTTTGTGACATATATTTTTGCTACTTCTTGGTATATTTATATTACTGATATTTTGTTATATATATGTTTTTATACAATTTTTTAATATATGTATATATATATATATCATATAAATCTTTCTTGTAGTTAATTTCGTATTATATTATTATATAAATTTTACTATTGTTTTAAATATAAAAATAATTTATAAATATAATATTTAACCGTCTAGGTTTAGTCAGGACCTATGAGTTACAATTTAGCCTTATATTTCTCAGATAAATGGATTACTATTATTACTTTTATTTGGAGTCGGGTTAATTAAATGACCATCCTGTCCTTCAGCTTACTATTCCAGCAACTTGATCGTCTATTTGACCACCCTCTCTATTTTTCTAAAATGACTTTAGCTTTTGACCCTCTCTCCCCTACATATTTACGAAATTTTGACACCCTCTGAATTGACATTCATGCCCTTCGGCCGATGAACAATCAGCTGTTTTTTTTTTCTTGTAGTTCACTCCTCAAAATATTTTGTGATACAAATCAAGGTTTTCAGAATCAATTGGTTCAGCTGTCGATTCTCGATTCAATTAATCTAGTTTTTAGTCCGATCCATTTATTATAGTTTAATGTTATGATAATATGGAAATAGAATTTATATTAATTAATTTGATATGATTTAGTGATTAATACATAGATTTATTTTAAATGTATATACAATAATACAAATATAAAGGTGCATGAATGGCTTAGGACCACTCATATTTGCATAATGCCATCTTTTAGCCAACCTTGGACCGTCATTGTCTATGGGTTATGGGAAATGGATTACTTTCATCTTTGTTCTCATTATTTGCCTAATTAACTTGAACCATAACTCTAGCAATAGTAAAATTACAAAGATTAAATTGATATTTTAATTAAATTCAGGGACCATAGTAAAATTTTAATTAAATTTGGATCCAAATTAATAAAACAACTAAAATTAATAAATATCATTCTCCGCCGGTTAATTTCTCACATCTCTCCTCTCAACTTATAAATTAATACAACAATTCCGTCAACGAGTCAATAATTCTGACAATCTTCTCATATTTTATTTAGAAGTTCGTGCGATTTTTCGTTATAAGATAATTTTGTTATAATTTTTTTTATATTTATTGTTTATTATGATTATTTGAAAAAAATATTATACTAATTATTTTCAATTAATTTTTGTGTTTGTAAAATTAGAAAGCGGGAGCATACGTCGAAATAGTTTTGCGGTGCAGGTAATAATATTAATTTATAAAAATATTTCGACGTATGCTCCCGCTTAATTTTACAAATACAAAAATTAATTAAAAATAATTAGTATAATATTTTTTTTCCAAATAATCATAATGAACAATAAATATAAAAAAATTATAACAAAATTACCTTATAACGAAAAATCGCACGAACTTCTAAATAAAATATGAGAAGATTGTCAGAATTATTGACTCGTTGACGGAATTGTTGTATTAATTTATAAGTTAAGAGGAGAGATGTGAGAAATTAACAGACGGAGAATGATATTTATAGCGAGAAAAGTTATATAAAACGCGGTACATGCCCCATACTATATAAAATTATGTCAGTAAAGGTATGTCGCGGTACCTGACTCGCGTTATATAAAATTATGTAGGATGTATAGTGTGGTACCTAATCTGCGCTATACCCTTACGTGGCGTATAGCGCGCTACATGGGCCGCGCTATACCCACGTAATGTCAACTCACCGTATAACGCAGTGCAGGGGCGCGCTATACCCCACGTGTTACCACATCAGCGTATAACGCGATGTAGGGAACGCGCTTTACTACTATAGATATTATATTATGAAATATAATATGACCGATATTAAATCGATAATAATATCGGAAGCCGGTGATATATCGAAAAATCGCCCATTGTACTATCATCGGTTATACAAAAATAAAACCTAATAATCCACCACCAACCTCTCTCTCTCATATTTAACATCGTCATCCTCTGCAAAAACCATCTCTTCCCAGTTGGAAAGGGACTAACCCATCACCTTCCTCATTTCTCCATTCATATATATATATATATATATATATATATATATATATATATATATATATATATCTATATATATTTATACACACACACACACACAGACTCTCTCTCTCTATTTGTTATCTTTGCGCTAACGAAACAGCAGAATAAAAAATGACTGCGGATACTCCAAAATCATCTCTCTTGCTTCACAGAATCAACAGCAACACCGCAGCGGCAACACATAACTCCACCGCCCCGGCAATACCTTCTGCCGATGATGATTCCTTCATGCTTTGCCAGAAACGGTATCCTTTAGCCTTCACTGTGCCCGTCCCCGAAACCGTCGCTCGCCATCACACCCACCTCATCGGTCCCAACCAGTGCTGCTCTGCTGTCGTTCAGCAGATCCCCGCCCCAGTCTCCACCGTATGGTCCGTCGTTCGCCGCTTCGGTAATCCCCAGGCTTACAAGCACTTCGTCAAGAGCTGTCACGTCATCGTGGGGGACGGTGAAGCCGGTACCCTTCGTGAAGTCAACGTCATCTCGGGACTCCCCGCGGCGAGAAGTACTGAGCGCCTCGAGATCCTCGACGACGAGCGTCACGTTCTCAGCTTCAGCGTCGTCGGTGGAGACCATAGGCTGGCTAACTACAGGTCAGTGACGACCCTCCACGCTTCGGCTACGGGGAACGGGACGGTGGTGGTGGAATCGTACGTGGTTGACGTGCCGCCGGGGAACACCAAAGACGACACCTGTGGGTTCGTCGACACTATTGTTCGGTGCAACCTGCAGTCACTGGCTCAGGTCGCTGAGAATCTAACCAGGCGCAAATAGCAAATCAAAGTAGAACAAGTAATTTTCGTGAGTAGATTCAAAATCATCTATCAAAATAGATTAAATTCCTATCTCGCTCGCTCTCTAATGCATGTTCTTATTTTTTTCTTTAAAAAAGGGAAAGTCTTTAGTGATACGCCGTCGCTTTTGTGAGTATCCGATAATTGGGTTGCCGATGGAACATCTCATCACTACCAAAGTTCATGTTTATCGTTTCACCTGTGTATGTGTACAACTTCTCTTGTCTTTTTACTCTCTTTTGTTTAATCTGTGAAATAGTAAAAATAAATACGCACACCCCATTGTTAAAGTACATATCTTTTAGCCTCCACTATTTTCTGTCGTCTTCATTGCTGCCAATTGTTTTCTCCAGTTTCTATATAACTTTATAAAATTAGACAGAATCAAAAAGAAGATAGAGATTTATTATTGAAAGCGATGAATTGAGTCATGGAGCAACTTGGGCAAAGTAGTATTAATAAAAGCAGCCGAGTTTCGAGTGTTTCTTAAGTTTCCATGTGACTGAGGTACTCATGAACATACATAACAATCGTAATTTAAATTGCTGAATATGAATTCCATAATCTTGATTGCAATGAAGAAGTTGGTGGGGGAAAAAGGGTTGGGTGGGGAGTAACCTAGAAGCTGCCGGATGGGGAAATGCATGTTGAATTGAAATAGTAGTCGGTAAACACGTGAAAAGGAATCCTTTTTCTGCCACAACTTCACATAGAAAAGCTGTTGGGAAGAAAAGATTGGGAGCAAGTTGCGAAAAAAGGAGTGCAAGTTGAGAGTTTTGAATGAGACGGGGCTGTTTGCAAGTTGGGGGATGCAAGTGGGAATTACTAGTATTATTTTTGCATTATCTTGGTGTTAGATGGCGTGTACTATTGTCTGCTTTTGAACAAGTTCACGCCACTCATCTCTCTCTCTGCATCACACATGACATACAAGAGTTTCGATTTCTCTGCAACTTCGCTCACTCCCATCACCGCTTAGCTTCCATAATTTCCATGCCCACTCTTCTTTTTATTATTTTCATTGTACTAGTTATAAAAAGGTTAATTGATATATATTTGAATTTTATACAAGACATTAGTCCAAGGGCAACATTAAATAATTTGTAAATTGTAAAAAAAATATAAAATATATAAAAAATGCAAGACAAAAATTAATCAATAACATGAACAACTTAATTTGATGAGTGCGAAAAAAAAGGAGAATAGCCCTAAAACTTTTACGCATCAAAACCAAACTATTTATGTGCCATGCATTCATATATTTTTAGTATAAAATATCCAATTCATTGATTGATTAAATTTTTTAATAGTTTAAGATAATTATAAAATAATATCCGTTTAGAATTTTTTTTGATCATTGAAATCGATAAAACACATTCTACATAGCCAATTGACAATGCTGTCAGTGCACATCATTTTGTAGACGTATATGCTCGAATCTAGACTTTCTAAAATTTCATTCTCTAATAAAAATTTAAAATTTATATAATTACTATCAACAATCAGTTAATTTAATAAAATGAAAAATAATTGATTAATATATCAAATATTAATAGTTAAACTTAAATTTAAAAATATATTATTTGTTAATAAATTATAATTATATAAGAAGTTAGAAAACCAATGCTTTTCTGATTTTAAATCAATCCTCCGAAGCCACTCATTTGCATTATAAAACACAATATCGAGAAAGAGAAAATTAATCACCACTCACCACATACATGCATGTATACAATGAAAGTCATATTCCCGATATGACCTATTCAGAATAGTGTTGGGGGGGATCCATTTGCAGTTAGTATTATTGTTGAAAATTATTATTTAAACATGGGTCGAATTGAGTCGAATTGTCCATCCGAGTTGATCTAAGAGCAAGGAATCTTCCACCCGAGATCCAACGTGACCCGACCAAAATAATATTTCATCCGACCCGATATATAACTTAAAAATTCGACTCGATCCGAAATAATAATAAAATATTATTTTTATTCAATAAAAAATAATGACTTAATTGAAAAAATATATATATAGAGGAGTATTATTATAATTATTCCTAAATACATAAGGTAAAATTATATATTTTTTGGGTCGGGTCAGGTCGGATATTTTCACACTAAACCCAAACCCGACCTGACACGAACATCACATTTAAAAATCCGACCCGAACCCGATTTTTTAAAAAATCCGACCGATTCGATCCGTCGAGTCGAAACTCGTCGGATTCGGGTTCTATGTGTGAGCTGACGTTTATGAAATTAATTAATTTATTTTAAAGTACCATATGATAATAAATGACAGACTCGTAACTTTATGCCGTTGTCCAGAGATTATTTTTTTCTAGAAGCATGGAATAGTTATTTAGAATTTTCAATAATTAATATTATATTTATAGAATATATATAATTTTAATTTAAGGTTTTGTCTCCTAATCTTTAAAAGATTTTAAGATTCTTTTTAGGCGATCCACACAATTTAAAAGATCGTGAAAAAAGTCACAAAATCGTATTTATCCATCAGTGTTTGTTAAAGACATAAATTTGAAACTCATCGATAAGTCCAACAAACTCAGACGACAAACATGAGAGGACTGAAAAGAAAATAGGAAAGAACACAAGTGATAATGGTGTTTCACGCAACTAGGTACTGTTTTTTCTTGCAAATTGTTTCCTTCTCCCTACGATCCGAGTTAAGGCACTAAAGGATCCCATGATAGATATAGGATCAACGATGGGTGTATTGAACCCGAACCGATCTTTGGTAATGGTTTTCAACCCATCCGACAACTCATCCACACACTACTATGATTGGTTAGACTAAAGTGTATGTTTTTTTTCAAGTAATTTGGTGGATCGAATTACTTCTGTATGATTTTCCATAAACAAACACTTCAAATGTTCGTAAAAAAGATGGGAGTCAAACAGTCGATCAATGTGGTTGTCTCACGTGACCAAATGACATCACATCAATCGATTTAATATGTCACATCAATATTTTATTATTCCAATAACATGTGTTAATAATGTGTGACCGATATTTATAAATCGATCAAATCAATGATCAACATGTTACTTTTGAAACTTCATTCGAAAAAGTAAAAACTTACTCAAACATCACTTACCATTCTATTTATATAGTTTATCCTATAACTATTTTAATGCAATTTTGTTTGTAGGGTAAAATACCTATTTGATCATCCATCTATTACTTAGTTTATGTTATAATTATATAAATATTAGTATTTTTTAAAAATCATAACTAACATTATGTTTTTATTTTATTTTAGTCACTAATTGTTAAATATTAATGGCGATACTCACGTGATTTTTTAAAATTATCTCTCAATACTGACGTGATATTATCTTATGGTGACACGTCAACTTTACTATTAATTTTTAAAGGTGAGTGACAAAATAAAACAAAAACGTAATATTAATTATGATTTTAAAAAAATAATAGTTGAGTGACCAAAACATAAACTAATTATAGGTGAATGACCAAATAAGTAGTTTATCCTTGGTTTTATGTTGAAAAGATTTCAAACGATGTCGTTTCTTGCTAGCGATAAAATCCTTGTTTCAGAATTGGGAAAGTAATGAATTGAAGTTTCTTTTCCTCCTTATTTCCGATATTCTTCTTCTTCTCCGTGTTTTTTTTCTAGTGTTCTAATCGGCGGCACACCAAGAAGCTAGGTTGATTTCTTCTGTTGGAATTCAAGTGTTTCTCTTCGGTATAGAACACAGTTTCTCTCCACAGCAGGTGACTCCATCCTCTAATTCACTATTGTCACCATAATTTCCATTTCCCCATGTTGAGTTTTCTCTCTAAAACAATTCTCCATGGCAGGAGACTCATCAAGATCGAAGCTTTCAAATGCAAAAATCATTTATACATCCTTCAAAACAGCCCATCACTTTCATTCTCAACATCTTTAAATCAACAATCATTTACAGTCTCTTACCTCATGAAAACTTGTGGGTTGTCCCCAGAATCTGCTTTATCAGTCTCCAAACGTGTCAACTTTGAAACCCGAAATCAACCCGACTCTGTCGTCGCCTTCTTAAAGAACCATGGATTCTCGGAAACCCAAATCGCAACCATCATCGGGAAGATGCCATGTATACTTTCATCTAATGTTGAGAAAACCCTTTTGCCCAAAATTACGTTTTTTAACTCTAAAGGCATTTCAAGCTCTGATCTTACCAAACTCTTTGCTAAAAATCCACATATTCTTAGAGTTAGCTTAGAGAAGAAAATTATCCCTTCTTTTAACTTCCTTAGCAATCTATTTCAATCGGATAATGCTGCCTTTGGTGTTCTAAATCTACAGCCCCGTATTTATTTATATGATTTTGATTCTTACATTTTGCCTAATCACAATATTCTGAGGCAAAATGGAGTGCCTGAACTTAACATAGTTAAGGGACTTCGTCGGGTCCCTAAGACATTCTTTGTTGCTCCAGTTGTGTTGAAAGACAATGTTGAGAAAGTAAAGAAATTGGGGTTCAATCCTGCGAAGTTTACTTTTGTTGTTGCTCTCGATGTATTGGGTTCAATAAGCAAATCCACCTGGGAGAGAAAGTTTGATGTTTATAGGAAGTGTGGTTGGTCTGAGAAAGAGATTTTAGAAGCTTTTAAGGGTTATCCCTTGTTAATGGCATTTTCTGAGGATAAAATTAAATCAGTGATGGATTTCCTTGTGAATGCCATGGGGTTCCAGGCTTTACTTATTGCTAAACGTCCCAATTTGCTAGGAATGAGCATGGAGAAGAGAATTGTTCCAAGGGGTTTTTTCCTTAAAGATCTTATGTCGAAGGGTTTACTAGAGAAGAAATTGGGGTTGAAGATGTTTCTGATTTCGGAGGAGTTTTTCCTTGAGAGATTTGTGTATTGTTATGAAGAAGAGAAGGCTTCTGAGCTGCTAAAACTCTATAATGAAAAACTGAACCTTGCTGCAGGGGGAAAGCTTAAGACAGCCAAATCATACAAGATATGTTAGAACTATTTTCTTTATCGATATTCTTTTCTGTCATAGGTAACATGGTTGTTTATTGACAAGAGAGGTTGATTGAACTCGGAGTTTAGATTAGTTGGTTTGTTGGAAGGAATAATTACGGACTCCAGATTGTCTTTACTGTTTGGCGAAGCTGTTGCTTAAGATGTCTGTCAACCATTAATCATAGGTGTTGAAGTTTTCGAAAGAACAATCGAATCTTCCATGTTAGTCTTGCTATATTTTAAGTGCAACAATGAAATGTGCGTTCACTTGAACACCTTATTTTCCTTATGTTTTATGCTATTCTGATGAGCAATATAGACCCCTCTTATATTCTAATCATTTCCTGCTAGTTCATGGTTATTTTTAAGATCTGTCACAACCATTTTCTATGTTTTTTTGTTGGTCTGGTTTATGTGACAGAAAAAAGTGTACAATCCCCCCCCCCAATTTTCTGTGATTTAATTCGGTTATTTCAAAATCATTGGTTGGCTTTGTTCGCGAAAATGGAAAGGTGTGAGAAGCACAGGTAGAATACTCCCCTTCCCACTCTTCAATCACCAATCAAACTCATAAACACAGCCATAATCAGCTGGCTGAATCTGCTCATTAAGTATTTAATGACCTTTGCTCCAACTTTCGACATGACCGAAAACGCGACCGCGACCGTAATTTAAAACCCTGGACATGACAGCTTCACAACTGCAATTTGAAGAGGTAAATTTCCCATTTCATTTAATCGTTTACTCATAAGAGCCATGTTTTGGATTTGCTTATAAGTAGAGTATCTAGAGATAGATTTGAATACAAGATGTAGCTAATTTAAGAGTACTTTATTGGTATGGTATGAATTAGATGTACTGGCATTGCAACTAATACCATGTGAATAATGGAATGTGATTCTTCTGAGTAGTGAAACTGTGGGTTAATGTTTTGACCTTAGATAATGGAACTTTCTGTCAATCTATTTCTCATATTTGCTTATTATATAGGCTTCAAGGTTTTATGATGGTAGCATAGTATATAGATTCAAATATGAGGAGGTGTAGTAATTCAAGAACACTTATTGATGTGATATGAATCCGATGTATTACGATCGCAACTAATACCATGTGAAGCATGGAATGTGATTATTATGAGTAGTGAAACTGTGTTAATGTTTTGGCCTTAGATAATGGAACTTTCTGTCAACTGTCCTCTATTTTTTCCGATGTGTAGGTGGAATGTTTATGAAATGTGGGAGAAGTTGAGAGGGAAGAGGTAAGAACTACTTATATTTGCTAACATTTTTCCATTAACCAAGAGTCAAGAGTTAGAACCCGGAAGCAGAGTAAATTGCTATAACCAAATGAGGCCTATCACTGCATAGGGCTACTAAGGAAATGGTTCCGACTTGCTGACCATGGCATGGTGGATAAAGTGCTTTCCAGTTTGGGTTCAAAGGTATCTGTTATCAATATTACTCAGCTCTCGGAATATCGAAAAGACCTCACCCTTCTATTTATAGAAAAGTTTGGGAGACACTGACCCCCCGCAATTGGCTAACCCTGCAAGCTACTCGGATTGCATACATTGGTGCTTACCTGGTGTGCCTGATGTGTGGAACATATTGATATTCAATTTTCTGTAAAAGTGAGTGAACAATTGAGATTCTTTTAGTGTCTTTGTATATAGCAACGGAGGGGAGGAAAGGGTTTAATTGTGAATTCTTTGCCATTTTGGAAATGGAATGCGAATGACAACTCTTTAAGACTTGGATAGTTGAGTGAAATGATTGCTTATAAGAATTAACGTCTTCCTTGTGTGTGTAAAATTTGAGGACCATAGACTATAGAGGAAACTAGTAATAATGATCAGCCCTAAAAGAAAGAGAAATCATGTTGTACCCCTTCCTAACCATCTCTACAAGGTAGATCTTCGCAACCCATGGCCTTCGGAGAGCCACCTCGAAGGAACATCTCCGGAGGAAGACATCAAGATCTGACACTCCTCGGGAAGCTATAATCTCGACATGATCTACTGAAGCTAAATCTACTGTCAGTTGATCATATCCCCATTTATTCATCCAGGCGTAGTCATAATGACCCTTCTCGTATCACCAGCTTTAAGGGTCACTATAAGTCCTCTTGATCTACACTGAGAGAAAGGATGTAACCCCTTTTCTTCAACTATCTTTATACAAAAAACCATAACACTAGCCAACAACCGCTTTATCATCGGCTACGACTATGTCCAAATTAGAAGAGGTGAACCGCTCATAAACGACACAACTAAATTATTCCCATCAACAAACCCAGAACTAACAGCCAAAAAGATTTGGCAAAAGCATGTTGGATCTGCTTCATTTCATATATCAACAACTTATAGGATATATGAACTGCAAAACTACACCGTTAGCACTGACTGGAAATATAAACAGTAATTAAGAAGAACAAATTCTTAAACCGTGTCGTGGTAAGAACCAATGCCTTAGAAACGAATTCGCCCCGATGTGTGTAATCGCTGCAGTAGGCGGACTGTCCCCCGAGGTTAACACGGTCGCTCCGAATTTCGTACACCCGAAACCGGAGTGGACTGCTGGTGGTATTGTACTTCTGATCGGAAAGCACTCAGAGAGAACTCACAGAGAGAACTTTAGAAAACACTTTGTAAGTGAATTGTGAATGTTTTTGAATGAGTTGAGAAGCTGAATATAACTCTCTATTTATAGGCTAGAAATAGGGTTAAAATCGTCTATAAAATTTCAGGATTAAATCTCTTATTTGTAACAGCTGAAACGTCTAGATGAACCTGACTCAGAAATAGTCCAGGTTCATTGTATCATTATTCAGTTGTTATAACTCCCGAAATTATATCATGTAACCCCTGGAATTAAATCAAATAACTCCTGATATTAACAGCTTGTTTCCTCTGTACAAAGCTGTAAATCAGTCCAGGTACATCTTAACGTTTCTGATTTAATTTAGGAATAAACTGTTTAATTTCTGATAACAAATAATTCAGCTGTTATTATTTGAAATTCAAACAGTCCTCAGCAGCCTATAAATATCAGTTGATATCTTTCACAATTTCCATTTGTTTCTTTCAAAGAGAAATTCCTCAAGAATTTTCTCTAAAAAGATAGTATCCGCGCGGGATACCACGACCACAACCTCGACCACGACCACGACCACGAGCCGAGCCGAGCCGAGCCGAGCCGAGACGGACGGACGGCGGCGACGGTGCGCGAGAGCCCCCTTGTTCTCTATCACTCAACAAGGAAGTGGAATGTCAAGCCTTAAATACCATTCCCAATAGTGTTTCCAACACTATGTGGGATTGAGCATTACCAACATTCCCCCACTAATGCGAAAGAAATCTTCTGAAACTCGAAAACAAGCTTTCCAGAAGAGCAATAGCGAGATTAGTTGCTTAAGCACTAGTGAACATATCTGGAACTAGTACATAGTGATGATGAGCAATCCTTCTCTTAGATAAGTGAAACTAGTCTGGAACTTTCTAAGATCAGGGTAAACTCATAACACACAACTAACCTCTTCATCCACCTGAGTCCTCGATGTGTAAGATATATATACAAAAGTATATATTGGCCATCTTACCTCAGGATTCTAGTAAGTGTGCTAGAAAAATGGCCTAACATTTTTCATAGAAGGCGGCTAACCCTTCTCACTTACATAGGTTATTTCATCAAGTTTATCTCCACATAAACCACCCTTTAAAAAGGGATATGAAATAACTAAGAGCTTTTATAATAGCTCAACCTCACAAAGGGTATGGTGACTTTTTTCAAGTTCATTATAAATGAACCACCTAAACTCTGGGCTAAGAAGTCATTAAGAATAAATATTCAACCTCATTTATCGGTAAATTCAATAAGTCCTTCTCACTAGAACCATCTAAATACTTGGATTTGAATTTATTAAGAGTTTAACAAACTCAACCTTTTTATCGGTAAGTTCATCATTTCCTACCCACTCACTCTGGGTTATGAACTTATTAAGAATAGATATTCAGCCAAAATCGGTAAATTCATCAAGTCTTTCTCACTAAGACCACCCAAAGCCTGGGCTATGAATTTATTAAGAGCAATTAAGCTCATCCTGGGCATGCACATTATTCATCATAGGGATAGGCAGTAGGAATGTGCACTATGAGTCTTTCTATGGTTTCGTTTGACCACATAGAACTTAGATAACTAAGTTGGGTATCCACCATGAATTCCTCAACCAATGGGCTTTAGACCCATCCTTCTCGACGAATCTAGGACCAGCTTCCGACTTAACCCTTTGGTAAGTGGATCTGCTAGGTTCCTTTCCGACTTCACATACTCTAAAGAGAGCACTCCATTCTTTATCAAGTGTCTAACTGATTCATGTCTTATGCGAATATGTCTTTTCTTACCATTGTAAGCTTGGTTCTTAGCCACACATATCGCAGCTTGTGAATCACACAACAATGAAACTGGAGGAGTCGGTCTTCCCCACAACGGAATATCTGCTAACAAGTTTCTGAGCCACTCGGCTTCTTGCCCAGCTAGGTCAAGAGCTATAAACTGACTCCATGGTAGAACGAGCAATACAAGTCTGCTTTGATGATTTCCACGAGATTGCTGCTCCACCCAAAGTAAAAACATACTCGCTCGTAGATCTTACCTCATCATTATCAGAAACCCAGTTGGCATCACAATATCCTTCCAGTACCGCAGGAAAGCCAACAAACTCAAGTTTCCAATCCACAGTACCCTTAAGATACTTCAGTAAGCGTTTAAGTGCAATCCAGTGCTCACCACTCGGATTATGAGTATATCTACTTAGTCTACTCACAGCATAAGCAATATCAGGCCGAGTATAGTTCATTAAGAACATTAAGCTTCCGATTAATTTAGCATATTCAGTTTGGGAAACACTACTTCCTTTATTCTTAACTAGATGTATGCTAGGGTCATAAGGAGTTCGAACAGGGACGACATCAAAACTGTCAAATTTCTTTAGCACTTTCTCTATATAATGTGCTTGACATAAAGAAAATCCCTTCTCAGTTTTGGTAACTTTGACTCCTAAGATTACATCTACTTCTCCCAAATCTGTCATCTCAAACTTAGTAGACAAGAAATTTTTAACTTTGTTAATGGACTCAATGTTAGAACTGAAAATCAACATGTCATCAACATAAAGGCTTATGATAACACATTCAGTTTCAAACATCTTCGAATACACACAAGCATCCGAACCATTCACAACAAAACCAAAACTAAGAATAGTTTTATGAAATTTCTCATACCACTGTTTAGGAGCCTGCTTAAGTCCATAGAGTGACTTTTTGAGTCTACAGACTTTGCCTTCCATACCAGGTGCCTCAAAACCTAGTGGCTGCTCCATGTAAATCTCCTCATCTAGATCCCCATTCAAGAAAGCAGTCTTAACATCCATTTGATGTACCTGCAACTTATGAATAGAGGCTAGTGCAAATAATGCATGAATCGTTGAGATTTTTGTAACGGGAGAGTATGTATCAAAGTAGTCTAAACCAAACCTTTGAGTGAACCCTTTGACGACTAACCTTGCCTTGTATCGCTGAATCGAACCATCTGGCCTTAGTTTCTTCTACAACATGCATCTGTGGCTTGTTGTCATTCTGGCGGTCTGAGCGGTGTTGGCATTGGTAAGCTTTGCGGCCGGGTAAACCGCAAACATAACACTTGAACGTCTTTCCTTCCGGTTTGGCCTTTCCTGACTTCTTGAAGTTGGTAGCCTTCTGTGGTTGTCTTCTTGTCTTGATTCCGACGTTTCATGATCTTAAATTTAGACTCAACCAAGTTAGCTCTAAAAGATAAATTACTCATAGAATTAGTAAGCTTATCTTTTAAACGGTTGGCTTCTTCAATCTTCATATGGCCCACAAGTTCATGTCTCTCTTCTTATGCTTAAGAGAGTTGCGGTAGTCAGACCAGGACTTGGGCAGCTTCTCAATGAGTACATTGGCTTGCAGCACCTCACACATTTGCATCCCTTCAGCGATGATGTCAGCGACTAAGTTCTCATGGTCATGGACTTGATCCATTATTGGCTTGTCGTCTGTCATCTGGAATTCGAGCCATTCGCCGAAAACGTACTTCTTGATCCCCGCATCATCCGCACCATACTTCTTGTCGAGAGTGTCCCATATTGACTTGGCACTCCTTTCTGTAAGGAACATATCAAATAGTTTATTTGACATGTGGCTGAGCAGATGTCCTCGCACCGTCTTGTTGTCCTTCTCGTATTTCTCGTAGGTAGCGAGAGCGGCGGCGGCAGTTGCTAAGGCATCATCATTGAGGACCGCATCCGCATCATTACCGGCAGCTGGGGTTGACGGCATGGTAGGTGGTGGCTTGAGCAACACGTAGTCAAGATCAAGTTGCTCGAAGAATATCAGAATTCTTTGGGACCACCTTCTATAGTTCTTTCCATCAAGTGCATCGAGCTTGGAAAGATCGGGAATGAGTTTGCTCAAAAGTGTCGACATGATTGCAGTTTATGGAATTCGTTTCTAAATTATTGGATGTATGAACTGCAAAACTACACCGTTAGCACTGACTGGAAATATAAACAGTAATTAAGAAGAACAAATTCTTAAATCGTGTCGTGGTAAGAACCACTGCCTTAGAAACGAATTCGCCCCGATGTGTGTAATCGCTGCAGTAGGTGGACTGTCCCCCGAGGTTAACACGGTCGCTCCGAATTCCGTACACCCGAAACCAGAGTGGACTGTTGGTGGTATTGTACTTCTGATCGGAAAGCACTCAGAAATCGTCTATAAAATTTCAGGATTAAATCTCTTATTTGTAACAGCTGAAACGTCTAGATGAACCTGACTCAGAAATAGTCCAGGTTCATTGTATCATTATTCAGCTGTTTTAACTCCCGAAATTATATCATGTAACCCCTGGAATTAAATCAAATAACTCCTGATATTAACAGCTTGTTTCCTCTGTACAAAGATGTAAATCAGTCCAGGTACATCTTAACGTTTCTGATTTAATTTAGGGATAAACTGTTTAATTTCTGATAACAAATAATTCAGCTGTTATTATTTGAAATTCAAACAGTCCTCAGCAGCCTATAAATATCAGTTGATATCTTTCACATTTTCCATTTGTTTCTTTCAAAGAGAAATTCCTCAAGAATTTTCTCTAAAAAGATAGTATCCGCGCGGACGTGTCGAAGACACGTATTATCACGACCACGACCACGACCACGACCACGACCACGAGCCGAGCCGAGCCGAGCCGAGCCGAGCCGAGCCGAGCCGAGCCGAGCCGAGCCGAGCCGAGCCGAGCCGAGCCGAGACGAGACGAGACGAGACGAGACGAGACGAGACGAGACGAGACGAGACGGACGGCGGCGGCGGTGCGCGAGAGCCCCCCTTGTTCTCTATCACTCAACAAGGAAGTGGAATGTCAAGCCTTAAATACCATTCCCAATAGTGTTTCCAACACTATGTGGGATTGAGCATTACCAACACAACTTACCGAAATTTGATATTGTGTCCTGCAAACATCAAGCTTTTAGGTAATAGTCTCTTTAGTGATAAAATTGGCAAGTGGAGTACACAGATGCCCACACCATAATATTGCATTACAATCACAAATATTTTTCTCTATTATCATAAATAGTATTTATAATTATGGACTGAAAAACAAAAACAATATCAATATATATATATATATATATAAAGGAAATTATTGCAAAAATAGGGTCCATTTATTCGTGAGAGGCAAAGAATCATGGTTTACAATTTCCACTAGGTAGCATAAAAAGAATAGATAGGAACAAAAACAAGAATACATATTTACATTATCAAATCCATGAAGATTTAAGTCGGTCAAGCTCCAGGAAGAGCTGTTCTCGCAAGTGCTCTCCTCAGCCTCCATAAATACATACGAGCTTCTCTTCTTTCAACTCCCACACCAACATTCTCAGAGGATTTTCCTTCTCTTTTTCAGTTGGTTTATTTAGCAAACCTGCTTAGTGGTGTTCGTTTTGTTTCAGAAATTTAAGTATAGAAGAATCTGTTAAGCTCAGGAGGGATAGCGCCGCACATGATCTTCAAGTTTTTCTAATATGTAAATCTGATCCTCGCTAGTGCTATCCATCCTGAGTTCCATGGGTTCTTCTTGCTCTCACGTTGCTTGCTCCGTCGAATCGAACAACAAAAATCTCATGCAAGTACGTGGTGCTGCATTTTCCTCTGTTCTAAAAGGCTCTACCAATCTTTAGGAGGAAAAAATACCAAGTTTTTGTTGCTTTCCATGCTTAAACATGTATGCAACATCCATAAAACTGATTTCTCTTTTCAATCTCATTTGATTTCCAGGTGATCAGATCATTCAAGCAAAAGTGAAGACGTCAGCAGCAGCATAGGGCGCCCAGGTCAAGTAAAATGTTTCCAAGTCCAGAAGATATATTATTATTGTTATCATTCTTCTTTTTGTTTCCATTTTGCAGCATGTGCATCAATAGTTGTAAGCAATCATATATGGTTATGCCTCTGTTACGATGGTCCGTGTTTGTTGTTTGTATCTGGAATTGAGCAAAGTATCAAAGGGTATAGGGCCTAAGTTTGTCTCGGATTTCTTGTAAAGGCTGAACCTATAACTTAGCAGTGGCAGTGGTACCTTGCTAGTTATTTTTGGCTAATTGCTTCTCCACATTAGTAAATACTATACGTTTGGCAAAAACTAAATGACAAGATTTGGATAGAAAGTTGATAGAAATAAGTGGGTTATGTCGGTCGGTTGTTAATAGTTTATCTTTTTTTGATTTGGAAGAAGAATTGCAATTCATGATTGAACATTCACTTAACGAATTTACATTTTCTGTCTCCATGAGGAGGTAAATTAACAGGACCAAGTGAATATGATTAGTTGATATTATATTTAATTCTTATATGTCACGTAGACATGATAAAGATCGTAATTTCCCAAGGTGTAAAGCTCCAGAGATCTATGTTCGAAGATGATCATTTTAAGTTTTCCATAGGTTATGAGATGCAAAAGAAACTGGAGTTTTGGAGATGTTTCTGAGACTTTCGGAGATCCTAAGGAACAGAAAAAGTATAAATTTACAATTCTTACAACAATCGGATCCAAAACTGGATTCAAGAATGACTTATGAGTAAGAAAATAAAGGGAAAAAGTTACACTGCTAGTGTCGAAAATAGACGGATATACTCGAGGTTTCGAAAATCAATATAATGATAAAGCGATGTTTTTAGGGGGGGAAATGGAGTAGTCAAAACTATAAACCAGTGAATTTCATGGCTTCTAGGAAGCCCAAATTAGCCTCGGGTGTCAAAAAGTCCATAGTGTAATCTAAACCAAAGCCTATCTCATCATCATGGTTGAAGGGCAAGTCATTCCCATGTCTTTGAATGTAGCTCGAAGAAGAAGAATCAACTCGATCAGAATTATAATATTTTTCTTCCTTAATTAAGGCAAAAGGCTTCGCATCGGCTAACAAACCATCCATACACTCTGATTTGTTCTTGAAGTCGTTAAAGCTATCACCAACAGATGGAGTATTAAGTTGTTGCTGGCAGCTCAAATCTGGGGGCTCATCATAAAAGTTACCCAAACTGTTGTAGTTATAAAAATCATCAACCTCCACTTCTGCTTTCATTTCACTTGAAGGCTTACAATAGATATCTGAATCTGTATGCTCAGTTTTCAAGTTATCATCTTCACCGAAGAAACAATTATAACCGGCATCGGACTCGATGCTTACCGGCATATATGCTTTAACATCCTTCCAAGGCTCCAACTCAGAAATCGAAATGCCCGAATCTTGGTCTTCATTATATAGGTAATTACATCTAGAATTGGAGCCATTTGGTGTCGAATTACCTTCTAGGAATATCTTTGATTCTTCAACAGGTTGTACTGCAGGGGACTCATAAGTAGTACTTGATTCCTTTTTGGCTCTGTCATCATTGAAATCGGATGTCGAACTAGACTCGATTGAACATATCTCGATGGTGGATAAAGCAGACGCTTTGTTGCTGGAGTTATCAACCGATCCCTTGGAATGGTGATGGGGAAAATTGAGGCGAGCGTAAGGACCATACATAGCCTTTGCTGCCTCATCATAAGCAAGAGCTGCATCAATGGCATTAGAGAAAGTTCCTAGCCAGAGCCTGTTGTTACCTTTACTCACAAGATGATGACCACCGTTGATGGGTTGTCGGATTTCAGCCACCCACTTCCCCCATATCCTTTGCCTTACACCTCTATACTTGCATCCAGAATTCTCAGGCCCTCCTTTCCCTCTCATACACCCTTTTTTGGAACCTTTGGCAGGAACCTCAGAAACCCTTTGGAGGCCATTATCTTCTTCACTGAACCGAACTTGGCTGTTGTTGTTGTACCTTCTCCACTTCTCAATGGTGTCCTCTACTGATTCACGTCCATTCCTTCTTGCTCTTGGCTTCTTATTCCTACCTCTAGAACTATCCTCCATATCAGAAGAAGTGCGCTTTACTTTCATTGAGAACCTCAATAACAAAGTGAACAAACAGAGGAAATCACAAGTATGTGTGTGTGTGTGTGTGTATATATATAACTTTGGGTTTGGAAAGAGCATGAGAAATGGAGATGTTGACGTTGTAATCTATTTTTGGTAAGGGGTTAGTTGGGGTTTCTTGGGAAGGAAGGAAAAAAGCATCAGTAAGCAGCATCGGAAACATTTTTTTGTCTTTTTGGTATTCCCAAAATGGATAAAGAGGGAGACGTGGCATGTTCTATACGGGATTAAATGTAGGGAATATAAGTCGTGGCTGAAACCTATACAACGTAGTTGAGTTCCCACCCCATCATTATCTTTGCCGTGGAAGACTTGTCTTTGATTATCATTTTTCAGCGTGGACATTGCGGCGGCTGCTTTTCTATGTTATGTTGTATTTATTTACGCGTAATATATATAAATAATGTTTTATTACATTATATTATTTTATTGTATTCTTTAATTATTAAAAATTATAAAATAATATTTTGAATATAAAATATTATTTTATTGAATCTCTTGATTATTAAAAATTACAAAATTATTATTTGATTATTCATATGTTCTCAATTCGTCTTTTTCTGTTAAAAATTATCTTCGATGTGAATTGGATGCTAATCACTTAAATGAGATATAATAAAATTATATTTTAATGATGTTGGTATCGTCATTACTTTTAAACACTAGTTTGATGATATAATGTAATGAAGAGTAAATTCAAAAAATACAAATAAAACGATTTTTAGATCAGATTTTAGTCAATAGATTAATATTCAGTTGAGACAATCATCAAATTTTTAATAAAAAAAATTTAAAAACATGAATAATCAAGTGACTATTTTATAATTTTTAATATTCAGAAGACTTAATAAATTAATATCTTATAATCAAAAGATTATTTTATAAATTTTAATAATTATGGTAATCAATAAAATAACACATAAATATCATTTGACTTATCCTTGTTTTTTATAATATTACACACAATATTACGTCTGTAGTTTCGCTTTGATCTTGTTGGCGTTGGTGCAGTGCAAACTTTTCCTTTCCTGAAAGGTGGGCTGTTGTGTCTTGGCTTGTCATGTCAAAGATATATCATCACATAACGTCATTGTCCATGAAATCCTCACTATTGATATCCTTCATCTTTATCCTCTTTATACCGGATTGAGGGAGTGCGGATTAATTAGAAAATTAAGTATATAAACTTTCAAAAGATTAGAAATTAGATCAGAAAATATTTAAATTATGAGAAGATTTAAAATTTCCAAGAGTCAAATTATGACATCTTTTCAGTCCATCCAGATTGGATGTACAGTAAGGTCTTTCTTTTGACCCTCACAATTTTGCTTATCCATTGAGGGGAAATGAGGATCTCATTACTGTGACAGAGATAGAGAATCTAGAATGGATGTGAATACACAAGCCTCATGTCATGCAGCTCTACATTATTCTCAAAACCACACCTCTTATCATCTTCAGCAAGTTCTGGTGTTTTACACCTACATATTGAGAATCTTCATCATATGCCCTTCTTATAGTACCTTTCTTCCATAGTAATTCCCGAGACGAACATGAGAGGAAGGCGTTAATAAGTATGTATAAGTCATCAACAAGTAATAAAGATGCTGCTCGATTTAGAACAATATATCATGAAAAGCACAAGGGAAGAGCAATGGGCAATAATAAGCTCACCTGTTCAAGAACCTTAGCAGTGCTGGCGTCCCTGGCCAAGCTTTCGATTTTCGAAAGCATTTTCTCACATAAAACCATCATCTCCAATTGATCCTTTGTTGTTCGTTACATTCGAATTAAATTTTCCTCATTTCTACATTGCTTCGATGATTGCAATTGGAACGCACGGTATTGTTTGGTTTCGATTAATTGGTCTTATGGAGGAGGAAAATTGAAGGAGCAAAAAGGGAATTGATTCTGGCGTTTTGGACCGGAGACACAGATTGGATACGCAGGGTTCTCGCATGGAGAGGCGGAGAGGGGTTTTCCGGTGGAAGAAGAACTAGCCGATGAGGGTTTCTGGTTAAGGTTAGTGAGAGTGAGGCGGGACGTGTCAACTCGGCCGAGTCGTAGGAACAGAGGACAGGGCCTTGGTGTGTTTAGGCTTTTGATATACAATCATCTGTAATGTATAATTAAGTCTAACATCATCATGTACAAGTAAACCTGGCCACTTGTTCTGAATATGGAAATAAACATCATTTTAATAATAACTATTTTCCTTTTAACATTTACAAAAGCCACACATAACAGACGACAAATTGTAATTAAGAATAAAAGAATATGTTTAATAAAAGAATATGTTTCACTAAGTAATACAATTCCATGTTTAAATTATGTATCTGCACCCCAAAATACTGTAAAATGAACAAGGAAACTCTATTAATTTGTTTCTGCAACTTTAGCACCATCATCGCCTTGACCACCACCAGCAGCGGCCACCTCGGGCTTAATCTCCTCCAATTGCTGCAGAACCTGTTGAGCTTCGGGACGTGCTGCAGGCGAGGGATCAACACAATGAAGAGCCAGTTTCAATGTGTTAAGCAACTCATCATTTATGGTTGGTGTATCTCTCATCAGCTCCAAATCAAAGACTTCATTAGTCCATTCCTCTTTTACTATTGATGCCACCCACTGCGGCAAGTCCATTCCATTCATCGGCTCACCCGGGGATTTCCCCGTGAGAAGCTCCAGTATGATCACCCCGAGACTGTACACGTCGGTCTTTGTGCTGGCATTCTTTAGCTTCGAGAGCTCCGGTGCTCTGTAGCCGAGTGTTCCTGCTGTGGCGATCACGTTTGTGCTGGCAGCAGCTGTCATTAGCCTTGAAAGTCCGAAATCTGCAATGTGGGCGTTGTTTTGCTCGTCGAGTAGTATGTTGCTTGATGTGAGGTTTCCATGGATCATATTCTCTTGTGTATGTAGGTGGTTCAATCCTCTTGTAACCCCAATTGCTATTTTCATCCTCGTCGGCCAATCGATGACGATTTCAGGCCCTCGAGCTGCCGAAGAAATTCGACATTGTTAGTCATGGCAAAAGACGTGTGTAGTGAACATAATAATTTTCAAGGTAGTTGAATCTACTTACCATGGAGAAAAGATGCAAGACTCCCTTTAGGCATGTAATCAAATACAAGAAGCTTCTCTCCCTTGGGTCCCAAGTAATAAGCCCTAAGAGCAAGGAGATTCGGATGTCGGATCTTTCCGAGCGCCGCTGCCTCCGTCTCGAACTCCCGCAGTCCCTTTGTAGTCTTCTCCCTCAATCTCTTCACAGAAACTTCATTTCCATCTTCTAAAGTTGCCTTATACGCCGTACCGTAAGTGCTCTTCCCCATAATCTCAGCCGTGGCACACAATAGATCATCAGCTGTAAACACAAACGGACCATCAAAGTGGACTATTTTCCCACCCATTTCACCACCTGCTTCGACCTCTGTGCCGGCCGCCGGAACCCCCTTCTCAGTTTTCCCCATGACGGCCCCCATATTACCACTCTTTTGCTTCAAACTAGCCTTTTTCTTCAATAAGCAGCAGAGTAAGATTAAGCATAATATCAATAGAATTGCTAGAAGACCACCGACTGCTATGAGGATGAAGTCCTTGATACTAAGTTTCCTGTGATGACGATGATGCTTAGGTACCTCTGCCGGTGCCGGCGAAAGCGTTGATGGGGCCGGAGAAGGACACATGGTCGATGTGCTATAGCCACATAGCTCAAGATTACCCACAAAAGAGCTTGAATTGAATTTTTTAGCTAGGAGAGAAGGGACAGCACCAGATAGATTGTTGTCAGAAACACTGAAATCACTAAGATTGGTTAATCCGGCAAGCGAATCCGGTATTTCACCGGAAAACTTATTCCGGGATAAATCCAATTGGTTAATGCCAGACATGTTGCCAATACTTGACGGGATCTTGCCGCTTAATCTATTATCTCCGAGGTTCAAAGAAACAAGAGAGGATAGATTGGAAAAGCTAAAAGGAAAGCTCCCATTGATGGAATTGTTTGATAAATCTAGTAACTGGAGCTTTGACAGTGTCCCTATTTGATCAGGAATGGTCCCTGAAATCTGGTTATGGCTCAAAGAAACCTGTTGTAATAAACTCAACTTACTCAAAGAAACTGGGATTGTTCCAGTAAGGAAATTATAATCAAGTGACAAGACCTGAAGTTGGTAAGGTTTGGTTCCTGTTCCAACCCAAGTATCAGGGACAGAACCAGAAAGATTGTTGTGTTGCAAAGCAAGAATGGTGAGTGAAGGCAAACGAGTCAAACCAACTGGGATGGAACCCAACAAAGAATTATAGCTCAAATTAAGCCTAAACAACCTACTTGAGTTCACAAGGCTCGGAGGAATATTACCAGTGAGTGAGTTGTTGCTAAGATCAAGAGTTTGAAGAGAGTGACAGTTACCGATCGTCGGAGGGATCGAACCGGAAAAACGGTTGTTGAAGAGATAGACCCCTCGGAGATAAGGCAGAAACCCGATGGACCGAGGGAGTGGACCTCCGAGAACATTATCATGGAGGCTAAGCTTTTTAAGAGCTTTAAGCTGACCGATTTTTTCTGAAATGCGACCGCCTAGGCCACGCCATGGAAGCTGGATAGAGATGACTTGTCCATTAACGCACTTGATTCCTGCCCAAGCACCGGAGCAAGCTCCATGTCCGGTGTCATTCCAGGTGCGTAGGAAGCCTTTGGAGTCGACGAGTTCGTGCTGGAAAGCTCGAAGAGCTCGATAGTCAGCTGGGGTAACAGTGACACCATCTGAGGCTGAAAGGGATGAAAAGGGTAGCAGAAAGAGAAACAAGTAGGCCAAGAGAAAGGAAGTATTTGCATGGAAGAGATGAGAAGAAGAAGAAGTTATTTCCATGAAAAATGTTCCCTTTTCCGTTGCAGAACAGAGAGAGAGAGAGTAGAAGAAGAAGCAGAGGGAGGAAGAAGGTCGAGAAATAAGAGAGAAAGAAAAAGGGGAAATGGCTTTAATAGTTGTGGTATTGGAGGGAGGACAAACAAAGTAGGGATGGGGTCTTCTTCCGATTAAAAAAAATGAAATAACGGCTAGTCTTAGATATAAAACCGTTGGGGATTGGGAAGTAAACATGTCTTTGTTTTCAACTGAAAGTAAAAAAGACAACGTTCCTGATGTAGTGGCTAAACGGCTATATTTCATGGCTTGGAGTTGGGACCACCCCCATCAATGCAGAGATTATTATCAATCCTTTTGACTGAACAAAATTTCCACAAATATTTATTACATTTTATGTACATTTGTAAAAAATAATATTTTCTATTTACAAATTACAAAATATCAGATATTTATATTCTTATTATAACGGATCTAAAAATATTTTTGAGATCGTACACACATATATTAATAATACAAAATTTTTGTATGTGAGGTGGATACAACCGATAAAATGACTAATTAACCAAAAGAAATTTAATTTTAATGATGAACACTTACATATTCTAAATATCATATGTATCTGATCTCAATTGTTATAAAATTAAATAAACTCGACCCAATAATTTATAATAGTTTAATTTCCAAAAATTCTCATTTTCACTGATTTTTTTTTAGAAATTAATCCTTTTAGTGAAAAATATCAAAACCTTTTGAACTATCATAGTTCCGCTTAAAGGTCCAAACAATAAAATAATTAATTTTTTTAAACTCACGGTTTAATCTAAAAGTTAATTTTTAAATTATAAAAAATACAATAAAATTATCAATAACTGCTAAAATCATCATCAGTTCGCGATAACTTAATCGATCATTATAAAAACTATCTCAACCCTCTAAATAAAATCTGAAGAACACAAATTTTATATACTTTAACAATAATATTTTCCAATTTAACCCTCAAAATTTAATCCCACCAATATTTCTCTGACTCTTGTTAAAATAAATAAATGAACTCTACAGGCTCATACCCAGGTCAACAGCTATGTAATCAAATAGGAATAATTTTATCTCTCCAATTCTTCCGCAGTCTGTGCCGCTCGTCTCTAAAATTTTACTTCTGCTTTACCCCTAACTTAAGTTACAAAATTGATTGCTTAAATCAAGAGAAAGGGAATCAATTCAATTAGTGATTGCATGTTAGGGTTTAGGGTTGTTGACTAGAGGCTACAAACTACCACCATAAGTTCGTATTCCGACGGTAATTCAGATAAAATTGTCCATATGTGCATAGTTTTTGATAAGGGGTGACCACAGATGACGAGATTATCACAACATGCTCTCGCATGGTTTCTCCCTCTTTTTCAGGCTTTTTAACGAACAGTGTAAGTGCATAACCTTGTTATTGATGAGATTGAGAACATTTGCTGAAGCTTCTCCCAAATATCGAAAGCAGTTTAGAATCTTACCAAGACTGATAAACTTGAAGGATCAACATAATGTGACAGAATTGAAACTGATCCAACTGCCAACCCATTTAACAGGGACTCGTCGCTATTAAAACCCTCGTTTGCTTTACTCCATCCAGTCCACCCACAGATAATTCGGCCAGTGTCAATGTTTAAGAGTATGTGTTTAAATTCTCTCTCTTTTATCATTTAGGTACATGAACTTTTTTTCTAATCAATGCAAGTGCTTAACGTTTTCGAGTTACTATTTTAAGTTTCTATCTCGTCATTAAAAATACATTAAACTTTTATATTGACTGAAAAAAATTTAGACACTTAAATAAAAAAGAGAGTATAATTTAGATTTTTTTTATATTAACCCTACAATCTAATGGAATCCATGATTGAACGCAAGCCCATTATTCTAGCTCCTCTTACGATCCAAACCATAAATTTACTAGTTTAGTATTGAAATCAGATTGGACAATATGGGCTGGCGAGAGTGTTTTCTTTAAAAAAAAATTAAGTTTTCATATATTATATGTATATAATTTATTTTCATCTTTTAAAATATTATAAGTTCATCATCAAACATAATATCATGCCTCTGTTTTTTAGTTGGAAGTTACTTTCAACAAAAATTAACATTTTGCATCAAGGATACAGTGAAGATTAAGAAAAATCAGCAAACGATGTGTGCTAAAACAAGAAACTCAGCACTAAACTTTGGACCTAGTTACATCCAGTTCCCATAAGAAAATAAGAACGAGGCACCATACGAGGAGCATGAAAAAGAAACTCAGTTTGTAGTATTGAACATCTCAGGCCCTATACCAATTTACATTCAATGATTAAAGATTAAACATTGGTCCATTAAGATGTTATAACATCTTGTACTGGAATTTACATCAAGTAAATGGATTCACCAGTATAAAGTGATCTAATAAACCAGATCCATATGCATTTCACTGATTTTAATACAATAGTTAGTAGCAAGTAAATGGAGGTGAAAAGGAACAAAATTGGGTAAATTTATTGTCTACAAGAAAAAAAAATTCAATACTGAATCAATCATAAATGAAGCGATATTTTATCACCCTCGCGAACGAGATTCAGAAAGAAAGATCCATGGATAAGGTTCAGAGGCGAGTGGCAATGCCAGGGGCAGCGGCAGCGGCAGCATTGGAGGCAGCACCACCGAGGAATGACAAGAAACCAGGGGCGGCTGGTTCTTGCTCGTCCAAGAAGAGATCCTCAGGGGTCCTGAAGGCACCGTGAGCGCAGACGAGACCGCAACCAACCATGATAGCGGAAATGATAAGAGATCCAACGGAGGTGAGGAAGATGACGAAGACGCTAAAGACGATGAGGCCTCCGAGTGTCTCGCGATCGGAGTACGTGCGGCCGAAAATCACGAGAGGCTGATCGACGGGGCGGAAGAGGTAGAGGAAGATCCACGAGAAGAGGAGGGCGAGGAGGAGGAGGAGCGAAAAGGGATGGGAAAGAAGCGAGAAGGCGAGAATGAGACCGACGACGAAGAGATAATTGATTCGGAAGTAGGAGTAATTCTTGCGGAGACGGAGGGTGGCTTCGGAGAAAGACTCGGGCTTGGTGAAGGCGGAACGGTCGGCGAGTTCAGCCCAGGGACGACGCTGGGAGAGGCCATTGCGGAGGTAATCGTTAATGTGGGTGAAGAATGCACGGAATGAGGAGACGGCGACGACTGGGGGTTGGGAATCGGCGGATTGGACGGTGGAGACAGGGAGGACGGGAGGAGCGGAGGAGGACATGGCGGGGGAATTGGATGGATTGATTTGGATAATGGAGGGAAATGATATTTTTTTTGGTGAAGTTTACGAGGGTGTGGGGATATTAGAGAACAAATGATAGATTTGAGGTTTGGCGTAGAGAAAATGGAGGGAATACAAGGATGTACGTTTTCATGCTTTTTCCTATTTTTTTCTAAACAAAATTCTAATTAATGGACTTCAATTAAAACAAAATTAATATTATGTAAACTCTAATCTTAGTCTAGTGTCTTTTAAGTATCGGATCGAATATTGAATTAATTTGATTAAATCGTAATTTAATATAAATATATATTATTAATAACATAATTAAATTAATTTATATACTGATAAAACAATGTTAACTCGAAAATGTGTAAAATTTTATTAAATAATTTGTAAATTAGTTTTAAAATATTATCTAATATGTTAATTAAATTAATAAAATATAAAATATAGACATAATATTGGTATTTTAAATTTTAATAATAAATGTTAACCTTATTAAAAAAATATTTCGAGGATAAGTTAATATAAAATGTTTTTAGAATACATTTTATCAATCAAACACAATAATTTTATATTATGATCATCTAAACCAAATAAGATAATATAATATTTTTAATAATATATTAAATAATCTTAAATTGTGATAATCTCATTCTAAAACTAATGTTACATTTCATGAATTAGATTAATTTTTTAAAGGAAAATATAAGTTGAAAATTTCAGAATTTGTAATATTTTAGAATTTAAAGAATTCTAAGGTACTTTTACGATTATTATAATTTTTATGAATTTTTTTGTTGTTGATATTTTTCAAGGTTTTGGTAGCGTCTCCTTGGACAATATTTTCTCAACATGTTTGGTTGGGAAACTAATCATTAATGTACTATGAAGGAAGAAAAAAAATGAACATATGAATGTAAATCTCTCCAAATCTAACAAAAGAATAAGACCTTCATTTTAATATTTCTCGACAAGTTTTGGGCATGTAATATATATATGTGTGTGTGTGTGTAAAAGAAACAGAAATACTTTGGCCACAGGCTCAGCCATGGATGTCAATCTCTTCCTTGTATAAGCATTTTATATTTGTATATACGCACTGTGTAAGTGAAATATACAGGGGAATGAGGAGAAAGAATTATCATACCCCAACAGAATGACAATTTTGAGGCACAGAGTATACCATCCACTATTTGATCCAAACATTTTTAACCAAGTAGAGTGCGTCATCATTAAGTCCCTTCAAGAATCACTCCAACCATCTTCATCTTCGTCTTCATCGCTTCGGGCCAATGCCTATTTTAAGAGAGATGATTTATAAAAAAACAAGAATTGAACACTGCTAACATGGCTGTGACATAACAGGCTGCGAATACGAACCAGGCGAATTGCGTTTGCTTTCTCCAAGATTGCTGCAACTCTTATGCTCGTTTTAGGACCCTGAACGCGGGGTCTGGTCACCACCGCTGCAGGCTTCAAGTTGAAGGACTGTAGAAAACAAAACAAATCCATGCATTCCCCACCAATAAAATAATTTCTCTATTCTAAAAGAAGGGAACAAATGGATCTTACCTTTGTTCGTATCTGTTCCAGCAATGAATCTCTTTCATCTACCTTGGGAATGATTGGAGGTCGATTCTGCTCGGTTACCTTTCTCATCTGCAGAAAATTTAAACTGTCACTTCACAACAAACAGGCAGACAGGAAGAGGAAAAAAATTATATTGAGAAGCAAGGCCATATTCACCTTGCTTTTGTCATGAGCAGCAACAGCATCGATGAGAGGACTGCGAGGTCGAGGAAGTTTAACCGGTGAATTCCCATTTGAGTTTCCTTCTTCAGCAACTTGTAATAAAGCATGCATATTTGAGGGCCATGCTGCCTCCTCTCCCTCTGAAGTCGACAAATCATGCTCTAGAGTTGTTTTTATTACTCGTGCAGTTTCTCCCTCTGGAGCTGCCAAGCCATGTTGAACAATGACATTTGGCGTCTGCACCTTTTCTGCCTTGGAAGCTGCAAAACCAGGCCGAGGCTGCTCGTCTACCTTGGTTGGAAGATCCTCTGCTACCTCGGCTGGAATTTGCTCCTCTCTCTTTGTTGGTAGGTGCACAGATACATCAAGAGGATTCCCATGTTCTCTATCAAGACTTTGTTTAGGGTCCTGAAATGTCCCACCTTCTAAACTTGCATCCAGTACAAACTGGTTTGGACAGTTTGCTGTTTCCTCATGCAAAGATATAGGAATGTGTCTACAAGTTGCATCAGTAAGTGGCATCGGCAATGAGTAACTTGATTCTACCATATCAACCTTCATAGCAAGGGAACCATATTCAAGGTTTTCATTAGATGTTGTGGGTAATGTTAAGAATGGGTTTGAGTGTGTTCTATCCAAACATAAACCACTGTATTGGCTATTACTGTTGCTAGCCATAGTTGCTGGATTAATAGAGAAAGGACTAGGCTGCATGAAATCGGCCGCCAATTGATCAGAATTACCAGACCTCTCTTCACCATCCACAAGGGGTAGAAATGGGTTTCTGGGCTGTTTGAAGCTCTGCTCCGATGCTGGTAAACCAAATTGAGCTTTCTCACCATGTTGAACTCTCCCCATCCTCCACTGCATTGGAGGAAGAGGTGGCAATGGTGGCATTTCCTCCCTGATAGCTTTAATTGCTTCAGGGTGCAGGCCAAAGGCACGATGAATGAGATCAGATGGATAACTATCTTGTTTATCCTGCCTACCTGATTGTTCTGAAAAATCAGATGAAGCTTGCGTTGAAGAGCCTTCTTTGGAATGTTCAAAAGAAGTTTGCAAGCTTTTTTCCTGATCCATGGGATCCGGGGATTGTATCTGTCTTGAACCATCTTCATCTATGTGCAGCTTTTCCACATCATGTTGATTAGCATGGATGTCTAATGGCAGCACTAAAGCATTTTCTTTTTCTGATTGGTAATGGGTAGTTGAAGGCACCGCGTCTTCCTTACTTTCCTTTGGATGACTCGAATATTCCAATTCTCTCTCTTTATCACTGAATTCTGAAGAAGCTAGTGCAGTGGCTATATCAACAAAATTCAAGCCATCTTTGGTTGGTTCAGCCGGAGTCGAATAGTGGACTTTATCTTCTAAATTGGAATTGTTATAAGAGACCGACTTGCATGAAGTGGAATCTATATCTGCTGGAGTACCTACCACTTGACTTGTTGCTTCTTCCGTCTCTGACTCTGCAAGACATTCTTGAGAAACGACCTCATTGGATTCCAATGCTTCATGACATATATCTCTATCACCAGCAAGAAACTCTTCCAAATTCATTAGTTTTCCGGATGGAGAGCAAATCAAGTTTGAAGAGTGAAATGTAGTATTATCAACATCATCACCGAAGTTGGCAGAATCACAAGCAGCAGAAGATACTGCAATACTTTCAGCATGAACATTTTCGGTTGCCAGATCATCTAAATCCAAGTGAATCTTGAGGTTCAAATTATCAGCACAATCATATGGAAGATCACAACGAATAGCATCTTCTTCCACCACATTCGCACCGCAAGTAAATTCCGTAGTTTCTTCTCCCCCTGTAGCATCAAAAAGTTCAACAACATTTTGTTTCTGTTCAGAATATAAAGCTTCTCTCTCTGTTAGGTCAGCCTCAACTTTTGGATCATCATGTAATATGTCCGAAAATTGCTTTTCATTAAAGCCACAAATCTGTGAAGCATCCACCACAGAAGTTATACGCTCCTCTCCTTCAGCGAAGGTTGAACAAAGGCACTGCTCCTCTGTTGATGACATAATGCAGTTTGGTGAACCAATTGTTTGGTTGACTGAATTTTCAGCAAATATTTCCCCAGAAAAATCTGTTTTGAGAACTTCATCTAAATGATCATTGTCGATTCCTTTTAACGGAGCAACCTGTAAAACATTCAACAAATGTGGCAAAGCATCAGAAGAGACATTTGAGTCTCCACAGCCCAACTCATCTACTGGATGACTTCCAGCGGAAAAAGTGATCATGTTAATCTGTTTCTCAGAAGAATAAGAGAAAATGACTTCTGAAGAATCATTTAAACATTTTCCACCATCACTGTCTGACAAATTAGAGTTAGGTTTACCATCAGAGGCTACTTCTTCATGTTGTGGTTCCATCAAAGGAATTGCCACTGGACTTACATCATCCAACAATATATGCGTGGAGTTCAAATCTTTCAGACATGAACTATAGGATGCCTCTCCAAGATCAGGAAGGCAATGTTCACCAAAAGAAATATCTTTTTGTAACAAAACCTGATCAGAACTGGGACAATGCATCTCCATAGGAAGCTGGATGGGACATGTCTCAACAATCTCAGTAACACAGTTTCTATTTGAAGAGAACACTTCTGCTGCTGTTTCACCATCTGACGCCATATCTTTAGACAGATTGTGTGCAGTATCAGAGTTGGTAAAATCAGATCTTCCTTTCTTGATAGAGCAGTTTTTATCATCAGACGCAGAGGAGATCCTATCCGATTGAGAATCTGATGAATGGGCTTGGGCCCCAAGCTTTTCCTCGTTTGCATGAGAACCTGTTTGATACTTCCCGATATTCTTGAAGTCAATACCGTCCTTCAATTTATACCCATTGTCCGTATCCATTTCAGACTCCATGGTAGTAATTGCATCAATGTGGTCAGCCTCACTGGTCATGTCATCGGAATGGTCCCCATGTATATTGTATTCTTCTATGCCTTCTCCATCTACTATTATCTCCTCTTCGGTTGTTACTTTGTGAAGGAAAAGGGGGTTTCGATTTCGATCCTTGAAATCAACTGTTGGTTCAGGCACCTTCATAAGGTCTCTATCAATGACTTCTTCATTCAACTCTTCAATGGATGGTTTCAAGACAATTTCATGTACAGTAGGTGAACTTAAGGTTTCCTTTCCTTGTGAAGATACATTTACAGGATTCACAGTACTAATATCAAGTGTTTCAGTCCCCGGCCCACTAGAATTATCCAATGTCAACCACAGAGGCGGAGTACCAGAGTTATCGTAAACAGCTTTATTTTGTGCAGGGGTCTCCACGAATTTCTCCATGTAACTTCTCCCAGATTTTGAGTCAAGTGGAGATTCATTTAATTGCCTTCTTTTCAGTTTTACAAGACGGGCAGGGTCATTGTAAGCATTCTCAATATGCTCCTCCAAAAACTGTTGATTCAATCTGCACCATTAGAAACCCATTCAATTACCAAGATACCATATTAAAACTTTAATACGTGCAGTTAAACAACTAGAAGAAAGATGAAAGGCACAGATGAAGAATTGAAGGACTTACTTGGCATGTGATGTTGGTGGAAATTCTGTAGTCTCCCCATTCTTCCAGCGTGATCCTTTCTTCTGCCAGAAATAAAAGATTAGACAATAGGGATACAGCCATACTGGCAGAAATACCATATACCACAACTAGCCACACAAACAAAAAAAGAAAAAACTGCTAATTACTAAAACCATGATGTGCCAAAAAGTTACCATTCGGTGCCAGCCCTTAACTAATAATTTTATTTTGTGGTATATAAAAGGAAATAGAATCCTTCAGGCAGGTGAGAAGCATCTTAATTAGTACTTTGATATAACTGGTTTAAATCACCCCAAACGCAAAAATGGCACCACAAAAGAGCAGGGCCTAATATATAAAGCTTGCTGTTCACATGAAAGCACACCTCAACCATATATTTTTAAGTATGATAGTGGAGCTAGTCACCAAGCTTGCTATGATCTGCTCACAGAAACTCATGGATGCCCGTCATGAAATGATGATGAAACACTTTTCCCCAGTGAAATTAAATAAATCAGTCCAATAAGACTATTGATAGGTTTTAGGGCCATTCTAAAGATCGAGTTCAAGTTTATTTGTTAAGTGGTAGAAAATCAGGGTCATTCTGGAGACCTATCTCCCAATCTCTCTTATAAATGAGACAAAACTGCAAATTGCTAAAATAACATGCAAAAAAAAATCTAAGCAGATATTTTCCGTTTTCTTTTATCTACTTGATGTTAGTACCTTCACTTTATGTGCTTTATTTTCTCTCGGAACTTCCAATGGTGCAATTCCAGGGAAAGCGGATTCTGCTTTAAAAAACGATGGATCAGTGTAACGCTTTAAACATGCCCCAGCACCTGCAACATCAAATCTGGTGCAAGTTGAAAGTTATTAAAATATTCGTTATCGGTAAGAAAAGAACTTGCAACAAAATTATTGAACTTAAGACCAGTAAAATCATCTCACTTGTCCAAAAGGAACAACCGTGGGGGATCCCTGCATTCCTCATAAGAATCCAGCACACAGCGAGGTAAGTCACCACGAGTGATTAGATTATGTTCAGTGTGCAGATTAGGACGCCAGTCAACACCTGAGAAAGGATAATACATTTTTTGACCAGTTTAGCAGATAATGTCTTTGTGCATGTAAACTCCAATATTCTGTTTCAAAACCATAAATAAATAGAATCAATTAGCTCCATCACTTAAAGTTGACTCATTGTATGCCATTATCACATTTCCTATTCATTCCATTATTGCATGCCACTGTAAATGAATATGTGCATACTGATCCCATGACAATTTCCACCGGGAAAAAGTGATTAAAAGATGCATCTTTTGGTTAGGTAAACAAACTTTTTTTTCCCTGTAGGTGCTGATAGTACATGGGGAAATGTAATACCCATATTGCAGACACCAGGGACCAGGCACTCAACCCCTGGAATCTACGATAGTTGTTTCAAAAGGAATACATCTAGTTTCTGATATTACAATCAAGTACAAAAATATACAACATCTGAAACCAGCACATACGTGAAAGTGCACCATTATGAGAAATGATCCAGAACCAAGAGTAGGAGTCAAAAAGTAAACATAAAAATCATGAATAGTTTCCGCAAAAATGTGTTGGTAAAAATTTGGACCTAACCTGCATTGCTAAAGAGTAATGAATGACTGGTTTGTGATACAAATGCCTTCTCATCGGACGGGAACTCTGCCTCAAGTTGTTTAACTCGGACCATCAGAACATGGCCTCTCGCAGAAGTAGCCATTACCTCTTCATGCAAATGGTGGAATATATCAGCAGCAAACCTTTTGTAAATCACCAAGTAAAAGCAATTTAAAAACCAGGGAGAAGGTAGAAAGCAAAAATAACACATCAAAATTGCCACCAGAGTGCTACAACTCCAATAGAAATCCATAGTAAACGTGGCAGTCATATACCATGATTCCAAGTCCATAGAGAAATTTTCCGCTATGTAGTTTCAATTAATGCAATTAAGGAAAAAATCAAAATTGATACAGAATAATTTGAATAAACGGATAGTTCCAAAAGAAACTCACCGATTGAATAGCGAAATTGATAACACGATAGGTAAGGTAATTCTAAGTGTCTCAGATTCAAATGGCAGGATCTAAAATTAAAATTGTGTACACTTGAGTAAATCAGTTAAAGATTCTGGTTCGTTTCTATAACCTCGAGCTTAAAGCAAGGAAACAGAGAATTAAGCAAACTAACAAACAAATTAAATTCAACCAATCCGATAAGTGTAAGAGAGAGAGAGAGAGTAACTCGGCGACGTCACAGAGCTGGCGCAAAACAGAGAATTAAGCAAACTAACAAACAAACAAAATCCAAACAATCTGATAAGTGTAAGCGAGAGACTGACTCGGCAAGGTCACCGAGCTGGCGCAAAACAGAGAATTAAGCAAATTAAACAAACAAATAAATTCAACCAATCTGATTAGTGTAAGCGAGAGAGGGAGAGAATGAAACTGACTCCGCGAGGTCACCGAGCTGGCGCAAAACGCCAACAAGGCCAGACATGGCAACGCCTTCAAGTAAAGCCTCGGGATCATCCTTGTCGGCAGCTCTATAGAGCTCCGGATCGGCCAAGCTGAACTCGTTCTTAATCTGGTACCTCGTCAACGGCATTTCTTCGCCAAAAGAAATGAACAAACAAATCCTGAACCACTTCTCCTGTTATAAAAGAGAGAGAGAGAGAGAGAACTGGAAGAAAAATAATCAAAATCTATTTCAATGTTTGAAACTGCATTGAGTTCATCATAGTTTCATCATTTTTGCTGGCTCTCTCTCGCTCTCTCCCTAATTTCAGTATTTATAAAGGAAAATGAATCATTTGATGGAATGAATCATAGTATGCATTCCCGCACGATTTTGCGGATCTTATATTTTTTATTCATAAAGTAATTGATAAAATTTTGTTAAAGAATATTTAAAAACATTTTTGAAATATTGCAGAGGGTACTATACCAGGTAATATATAATGTTGTAAAGGAATATTCTTTTTTAATTTTTGAAAAACTACTCCAATTTTTTCACTTGTGTATCTACTATTCTTAAGTTGTCAAGAAAGACGCGTGCTTGGACTCCGAACAGAGGTTTTAAGTGTTTAGTAGTGTGAAAGGCAAGTTGACTCAGTTGAAATCTTTAATTTCAGCTTTGAATTAAGAGATGGTTATCCAGCTCAGTTGGTAGAGCACAATGTTCTTAACTTTGAGGTCGTGGGATCGAGTCTTACGAAGGTATTTCATAATTCGGAGGTCTTCTACAAAAGTTGTTTTTAATCTGGTGTTGGGGACAGCCTATTAGTTTTTAAAATTATTTAAGAATTTGGTATGAACCAAGCGACCTTAGTGATTAATAGATATTTATTATCTCTAGATATGACGGGTTCAAATATGTCATATGTTGGGGTGTTGAACGTTTATTATCGAATGATTGAAATTCTTTCAAACAATATTATCTTATAATTATTTTATATTAATAATTTTTTTTTGAATAAGATACTCTAGGGACTAAATCAAAATAGGATTAAACAATTTCGGTTTTTTTTGAAAATATCATATAAATACAAGATATTATCTTTTTAAAGACTCAACCATTTGATAATATACATATGCATGCGAGGTGCTCAAATTCAAAACTTGAAGGGATAACAAGTCCCTTAAATATCGAGGTGGCTTGTTCATATATTAAACCATGATTAAATGCATACTTTCATATAGGTAAATATAATTTTGGTACCTAACTTTAGTATTTATATGCAATATGATATTTAATTTTTTGTATACAATTAGATATTTAATTATTTTGTAATTGTGAAATTAGATATTTAATTTTTTAATGATGTAATTAGACACTTAACTCAAAATTGAATTAATAAAATTGAATTAAATTAAATTTCTATAAAAGTTTAAATTAAATTTAAGTAACAAAACAAAATTTAACACTTTGATTAATTCAAATATTTTTAGCTCAAAATTAAATTTAATTCAACTCTATTTTGTCGGATGCTCGCAACTAACTGCCACTCCAACAAATATGTTAAAAGTTTGTTGCTAATAGTAATTATAAACAAGCAATTACATGTTTGTTTTTTAAATTTAGAGTGATTATAAAGTAGAATATGTTCGAAATACTTTTCAAATTTTGATAATAAAAGTTTAAATATCCCTGCAGACGATGTACTTGAAGTTAAAACCTTTAAAGATAATAATCATCCCTTAACCAATGAAGTTGCTTGATTAATGCTAATTACGTTTTTTTATTAATCTAAGGTAATTATAATGTAATATATATTCAAAAGACTCAATAATTTTATAATAAACGCTCAAATATCCCTACAGACAATTTACTAAACTCGAAACTTTTAAGAATAATAACGATACATTAACCAATGATATTGTTTGGTTCGTGTCGACTATAATTTTTTTAAAATAAATCAATTGGGTTTGATTCATAAATGATGGTGTAATTGTTGAGTGCTCATCCCCTTTCTAAAATACTTTCGGTTTAGGGTTTCCCCACTCCATCAACGGTTTCCTATTTGTCTTAAAATATACGCCGAACATTATATTGTAGATAGAAACTTTGCTTTTAAGATACATCATATGATAGAAATAATAATATTAATATAACCAAATAAGAAAAAAGTTAAAGTTATTAAATTCTATACTATAAATATTTTTAAATAATAATAATAATAAAATTTATTAATTAAATAAAAATAATATAAACAAAATTTCACATTATCCGCAATTCTTTTACAGAAGTTAAGGTAGAATAAAACATAGTATATAATGAAAGAGTTTAAAATATCAACTAAACAATATGAAAAAAAATAAAAGATATAAACAAATAACAATGTCGATAGTGAAAGATAAACACTATTAACATTATTAATGTGACAAATAATTTTATCGCAACTCAAGCGTGATTATATCTGAGGTGGTTGAAAGCAGCTATTAATATAAAAGTTTCGAGTTTTGATTGTTTTCTCAGGTAATTGATTTGAGTCCGGTCCATGTTATTGCGATCTTTGTACGGACATCATTATGGTGCACTATTTTTCCTCTATTTAAGTTTAGAAATGTTTTTTTTAACGAGGTCCATAATGTTTGTCGTGTTTTGTATATGTTTGAACCAAAGCTACACATAACATCATTTAAAAAAAAAGTCTCTTTATAATATAAAGTTTTAAATTAAGATAATAATAAAATATATTTTTAATCTCTCATAAATGATAAAATCTAAATTTAATTTTCTAAAATTGATAAATTATAATAATAATAAATTTCTATTTTGATTCTTTAAAATTTATAATTTACTTCGGAGTTTCAAGAAAAATTACTCAGTTCAACCATGATAATACTTTAACTAGCTCTCAAAAACAATTTAAATTTAGGAAATAAAGAGCAATATCCTCAAAATAAGTGTTGTGTGTATTTTTCAGCAAAATGAAAAGGTATAGTCCTTTGGTGAATAGTGTGGGAATTAAGTAAATTCATGGGTGGAAATAGGCCAACAAACGCGATTTGGAGTGGTTAATTTAGGTGATCTTTTTACTTAACCTTAATATGATATCGAGGGTTAGTTTTATTTGAAAAGCTTGATTAGAAGTAGATTGATTTGTGTAGGTGGGACATGCCCGTCCAATAGATTTGGAAGTCTTGTGCTACATTTTAAAATAAGTCCTAAATATTTTATAATAAGATAAAATTATAAAATATCAAAATTTATCATATTACGATTGTTTCTTACAAAATAAAATAAAAATACAAACTTATGAAACTAAGAAAATGTTACAAAACAATTATATAATCGTGATATTTTATTTAAAATGTGTCATTATTCGAACGCACTTAAAAGCAAAATCAAGATATTTTTTAAATGCAGACCTTTAAATTTTGAGCCCTATGACGTATCACGCCTTACATTTGCTGATGAACAGGCATGGGTGGGGAGGCATCACCATGTATCAAAAGCCAAAGAGGAACATGGAGAAGAAGACGATGATTCTCAAGGACGAGCGCAAAATCTTATGTCAGGAGAGTAAACTTCTAAAATTTTAGAAGGGTGAATTTATAAAATTTTAGGAGATCAAAAATAATTTTCAATAGAAAAATAAAATATATAATAATTTAAACTTTTCAAGGACAATTGTCACTACCCGCCCCTCGGCCCATCCTTGATAATTCCATTTGTAATTGTAAATAATGTGGATTATTTACATAAAAAATCATGCAGTTAATAATTTAATCTTTGCTTCAAAGCTTGGGTTGATGAGTGGGATGCGTTGAGCTTAATGTTCGCGAATCACCATATCCATTAACCTAATCTCATTAACATAGATATCCACAAATAAAAGATTATATATGAATTCAATATTTATTAAGAGTAATTTTTTTCTCCTTCTAAATAAAAAATATTTTTTTATAAAAATAATATATATGATTTAATTATATTATATCTCTTTAAATTATACCTCTCGTTTTAACTTAATCCTTAAATTTTTTAACATTTTAATTTCATCTCTAAATTATGATTTTATTTTAAATTGATCATCAAACTTTTGAACATTTCAAGTTCATCTTCAAACTATGACCTTTATTCTATATTAGTCCTTGTTATACCTCCAGAAACATTAGCACCTCTTCCCATGATCTATCAAGAGTCCTATAATGGCGACAAACTTACAATGACCCTATGACAGTCTCACATAATTTACCAGAGAGTTAGAGAAAAACCTGCAATAAATATAATCATCTTATTTAAATGATCAGTTTATAGACGACTATTATCATCATAGGTCTGGCATCAATTGCCCTATTACCGAGATATTTATACCATGAGGAAAGATTAAAAGATGGTCTCTCTCTCTCCCATCTTGAACCTAGGTCATTGACCCTCTCTCTCTCACATAGATTTCATCCTCTAAATTCTCACGGAAATCTACTGGCTCACAGACGATTGTACACTGACAAATATTCTCCATCCAAATAAGAATGAATAAATCGTCAACAACATATGCAACAAACTTATTTCCATCAACGATCCTCATAATTAAGTTTAAGAACCGTTTCGATACTCTGACCGTTCCTTTTTCTTGTTGAGGCCACTGCAATCAAAGAAGTGGTGCTCATTTTCCTTTCTAGGTGGTGTTCTAAGTTTCGACTTATTGTTGAATCTGAGTGTAAGATTGCGGTTGATTGGTCTAGTTTTGCCAATTTGGTGTCTTTTCCCTATCATCGTTTAGCAATGGGTGCTGGTTAGTTCGCCATATACCAAGAGCGTGTAATGTCAATGTTGATCAACTGGCAAGGATCACGACATATCTTTATCAGGGGACCTTCTTAATGTGTTTTGCTCCCTTTTTTTTTCTGATGGATGTTCATACACCTGGATGATTGTTAGTGTTGTTCAGGGTGGACAGATGTCCACTGTGAAATTCAATTTTTTTTTATGTTAGTTATTTATTTTATTGACGATGCCCACCTTGAAATGTTATTTGTGACCACCTCATAAGAAAAATTTATGTTATTAATATATGTGTCCACCCTAAAAAATATTTCTAAGTATGCCATCGATGATATCTGCTATACTTTGGTGTCTTTGATGATTGGGGTTCAGTTTGCTCTGGTTTGATGCCATTGCATTACTCTTCTGGGTTTGGCGATAAGGGGGTCTCAACGCTGTTGTAATGTGGTCCCGTTGGCAGCAGCTGAGCATGATGCTGCCGAGTGGTTCTCTTGGTATGGTGCTGGTGTTTT